CTTTTTTCAGGAGAGGTGAATCCAGTCTCTCAAATAAGACATGCTTGCATCTTCTGAAGTTATTCTGGTGCGCAGGAACTGGGATTTTTTTTTTCCATCTTAAGAATGTCTAAACAACCCCACCTCATTCTGCCTTTCTCCCAGCCCCATTGCTGACTCTTTAGGGGGAGATATATATTTTTTTTTGGCATGAATATGCTGTTTTTCTTATCCCCCACCCACTCAGGAGAAATATCTGGGAATGGCTTAGTGTTCCTTTGTTCCTTTTGTTCAGCCAAAGAATGCACTACGGTCCAGGGCGAGGATTTACAAAGAATTTCTGCCAAGGAGAGAGGGGGAAAAATCAGTTCTTTTGAGCTTCCCATCCTTTGGCTTACAGTTTCCCCTAGGCTCAGGCTTATCATAGTTGGATGCCTTTCAGACTAACATTCCCCCCCCCCCCCCACAGTTCCACATACCATTATACTTGACTTACAGCTGTTCATTTAGTGACTGTTCAAAGTAATAGTAATAGTAGTAAAGTTGGAAGGGACCTTGGAGGTCATCTAGTCCAACCCCCTGCTCAGGCAGGAAACCCTACACCATTTCGGACAAATGGCTGTACAGTCTCTTCTTAAAAACTTCCAGTGTTGGAGCATTTACTGCTTCTGGAGGCAGGCTGTTCCACTGATTAATTGTTCTCACTGTCAGGAAGTTTCTCCTTAGTTCTAGGTTGCTTCTCTCCTTGCTTAGTTTCCACCCGTTGTTTCTTGTCCTGCCTTCAGGTGCTTTGGAGAATAGCTTGACTCCCTCTTCTTTGGGGTAGCTCCTGAGATATTGGAAGACTGCTATCATGTCCCCCCTTGTCCTTCTCTTTGTTAAACTAGACAAGTTACCAATGGCAGTGAAAACAAGTGACTTAAGACTGTTTTTTTTCACCCGTACAAGCATTGCAGCATCCCCAGGGTCACTTGATCAAATTCAGATGCTCGGCAACTGGCATGTACTTATGACAGTTGCAGTGTCCCGGGCTCACGGGATCCCCTTTTGTGACCTTCTGACGAGCAAAGTCAATGGGGACACCAGATTCACTTAACAGCCGTGTAACTAATTTACTAATGGCAGTGATTCACTTAATAAATGTGGCAAGTAAGATGGGGCAAAAGTTCCTTAACAACTGTCTCGCTTAGTGACAGAAATGTCGGGTTCAATTGTGGTCATAAAGCAAGGACGACCTGTAGTAATGGAGAATTAAGGAAATAACCAGGAGAGGTGATGCTTACTGGCTAAAAAATGTATACTGCAGTAGTCCCTTTTCATTATTCCTTGGAATTAATTCATTATTTTCGTTATTCCTTGGGATTCATTCGTTATTTTCATTATTCCTTGGGATTCATTCGTTATTTTCACTATTCCTTGGGATTCATTCGTTATTTTCACTATTCCTTGGGATTCATTCGTTAATTTCATTATTCATTGGAATTCATTCGTTATTTTCATTACTCCTTGGAATTCATTATTTTCATTATTGCTTGGAATTCAGTTAGAAGTTGTTCAGTGCTGGTAATTATTGTTCTTGGACCATAGGCACTTCCCTCCTTGCATTTTGTGTGTTTGAAGAATTTATTTAGCTCTGGAAGGTGCCAGTTAAAACTCCCAATGCATTTGACCCTCTGGAGTCAAATAATACACAAATAGCATCTTTTGGACTCTTTCCAGGCAGAGAAGCTAGAAATATATTCAAGTTCACCCCTATACAGGTAGCTTTGGACTTGCAACCGTTTGGTTTAGCATGGGGAGGGAAGTAATGTCTGCAAAAAAAAAGGAATCCTGCTTTACAATCATCCCAACTTACGACCAAAATTGAGGGCTCAGTTACGGCTGTAAGTGGAGGACTATAGGTAAGGTAAGTCTGAACAGGTAGTCCTCAACTTAACGGCCACAACTGAGCCCAAGGTTTCTGTGGCTAAGTGTGAGACTGTTGTTAAATGAATTTTGTCCCATTTTACGACCTTCCTTGCCCCATCTGTGAAGCGAACCTCCGCAGTCATTAAGCTAGGAACATGGTTGTGAGGTGAATCTGGGTGTCCCCAGTTGATTTTGCTTGTCCAGAAGGTCGCAAAAGAGGGATCACAGGACCCCGGGATAATGCGACCATCATAAATACGAGTCGGTTGCCAAGCGTCTTAAGTTTTGATCACGTGACTGTGGGGATTCCGCAGCGGTTGGAAGTGTGAAAAACGGTCATAAGCCACTTTTTTCAGCACCATTGTAACTTTTTAAAATATATAAATATTTTATTAATTTTCTAGTTTTACAGTCAAATACTTAATAAACAACGTGTTGTCTGGGTCCATTAGTAATCCAGTGGTCTATATTAATTTCTTCAGTCTAGACCAAATATTACACCATCCAGTGTTTCCTCTCTTCTTCCGATAGTATCTGTTTTCCCACACTAGGCAAATACAATTCTTATTAGTAAATATACAACTGAATATCAACATCTTCGCTACAATTTTCTAATAATGTCAGTCTAAGATATCTTTTTCTAACCAAAACATATCTTAATTGCATTTGCACTTAACATCCATATGCTCAATCAGTATCCTGTTTTTGCTTTTTTTAAAAAAAATAATTTCCCATCAGTGTTCAAAAGGTTTCTATTGTTTATCATTCCAAAGCACTGTTGTAACTTTGAACGGTTACTAAATGAACTGTTGTAAGTCAAGGAACTACCTGTACGTGTTTGTGAGGATGAATAGGTATGTAAGAAAACAGGCCTTGTCTTCTGGATTCCTCTTCTGGGGCAGAAGGCTCTAGCGCAGTGGTTCTCAACCTTTTTAATGCTGCGACCCCCAACCGGTCGTAAGTCGAGGACTACTCAGCCGGTCGTAAGTCGAGGACTACTCAACTGGTGCAGCACTGTTTGCAGAATGGGACTTTTGGCGGGCGCAGCAGGGCAGAGACAGCCTGGACAATTCCTATTGGCTTTTGAAAGCCAATAGAATTAGACTCTGTTCAAGAGAGTCTATTCTATTGGCTTTCAAAAGCCAGTAGAATAAAAGGGAGTAGCACAGCTAAGGAAAAGGGGGAAAAAAATGGCGGACTGCATTGTTTGGCGACCCCCGTGAAATGGTCGTTTGACCCCAAATGGGGTCCCGACCCACAGGTTGAGAACCACTGCTCTAGCGTACCCTAAAGAAAGTGCAGAGAAGTGATGTGTTCACATATAATTAGACACACACACACACACACACACACACACACACACACACACACATACACACACGAACACATAGGGAAACACATGGGAAACCCTTTGTCTGCTTTGATGGTGGAATTTCCTGCGCCTAATCTTTGCCATCTGCTCCGTCTTTCCTGGCTTCTGCCAAGAGACAGGGAAGGGGAGGAAGCCAGGAGAATATGGAGACTTGCAACACGAAAGAGGCAAAGAAAATAAAATTTTAAGACGGTGCAAATTGGTGGTGTTCTTCTTTCAGCTTAAAAAGAGCTGCGATCGAAAGAGTGTAATGGAAGCTGTTTACTGGCTTTGTTACCTGCCTGCCTCCAGACAGCCGCCCGTTACACCCTGGTGATTATCCTGATTAAGAGTGGCACCTCCAGCAGTCGAGGGGGGGGGGGACGGGACTCTTGTGGGTTTTTCTAATTTTAAAGGCTCGTAGAAGACTCTGCAGCTGGACCAGCCCGTCCTGCAAAACCGTGGCTTGCTTCAGAAGCCATAGTCGGCGGAGTGTCAGCCAGGGTATGTGAGAATGACTCTGGGAGACGGGAGGAAGAGTTGCAGACGAGGCATAACCGATGTGCAAACGCTTGGCAGAAGAAGGAAGTGGGAAGCCTTTTAGAAGAGACCCTCCCTAGTTTTTCAGAGAATAAAAGGAGAGGAGGGAAAAAAAAAAATCTTTCGGTTTTGCAAGATTCTGATAATATAATGTTACAGTAGAGACGAAGCTAGGACTCCTTTTTTGGGTGTCTCACCTTCCCAGGGTTTGCATCATCCATGGTTAATACAGCAGAGCGGGTTTGCAGAACCGTGCGTGCTGTGGCGTGGGGCAGAGGGGCAATCCCATCCTTCAGAAATGTTGCTTGGGTGGCACTGCCTTGCCCTCGTGTGCCTGCTTGTGTTCCTCTGCCAATTTTGAGCCCCTTCGTTTGGAAGAGAGGAAGGTGTTGTTGTTGTTGTTAATTGCGAAGTCGTGTCCGACCCCTCGCGACCCCATGGACAACGTTCCTCCAGGTCTTCCTGTCCTCTACCATCTTTTGGAGTCCATTTAAGTTCACACCTACTGCTTCAGTGACTCCATCCAGCCATCTCATTCTCTGTCGTCCCCTTCTTCTATTGCCCTCCATCTTTCCCAGCATTAGAGAGGAAGGTAGAGCTTGGCAATTGGTCAGGGACAGGAAGTGTGTTTTGGATTGGGTCCCGCTACGAAACGCTGAGTGACAAACATTGTGCCAATGGGGGTGGCCGGTTATGCAGTGTTCCTCAAGCCTCAACCACTTTAAGATGGGCTGACTTCAACTCCTAGAATCCCCCAGCCAGCATGCCTAGTCAGTATAGCCAGGGGTAGACGGTGAAGTTTGGGATTCAGCAGCCTCTGAACAGCCTCCACCCTTCATCACCTTTCTTGTAACTAGGATGGCAGGGTTTCTAAAAGTCTGTCTGTGACTGGCAGCAAATCAACAGGTGAAGCTTTCACTGTTGATTTCCACTTGTGGGGCTTCTGTGTAGAATATCTCCTGTCAAAAGCAATGCAGTTCTCATCAGTTTTCGTGAGAACATTTAGGTAAGGACAAAAATGATCACCAGGTGGTATACTTTCCATTCATTTCCTATAGAATAGAGCATTGTTGCTCCACCGAGTGGTATATTTTCCACTTATTTCCTATTAAATGGAGCCTTGTGGCCAATCTAGCACTGACCTGACCGCATTTGGTTTAAACATGTTTAACCATCGAGAAACTTTTCATGTTTCTTAACCAACTTCTTATTTGCTTCCTAGGATACAGAATCCTGGCAGTAGAGCTGATCTCTAAAAACATCAATCCGGTGGTGGAAGAATTTCAACGTAAGTGTGGGGCGAACGGAAGAGCACTTACCAAATCCTAGTTTGTGTCTGGCTTGGCATCCTCATTCCACCTTGGTTGGAAGCCATGGAGGTTGAAATCCAGGGCATCAGGAAGACACAACCTTGTTCTGCCTTGGTCTGTGTCTCCACCTCGCCTTGTGACATCTATTGTGTGTCTTTGCAGAGGCCGAACTGTCCTGCATTATTTCTGCCACCAAAACGGCGAATCCTAGAATCGAATGGAAGAAAATTGCCGGCCGAGGTACAACATACGTGTATTTTGACGGCAAGATGCAAGGTAGGAAGCTTCTGGGGGCTCTCTCTGTAGCAGGGGTCCCCCCAACCCCTGGTCCGTGGACCGGCACTGGTCCACAGCATGCCAGAAACTGGGCCACGCAAACAAGCAAAGCCCCATCCACGGGATGCAGGCACACAAAAGCACACCCCCTCCTGTCCGTGGAAAAACTTCTGTCTATGGAATCGATCCCTGGTGCCCCAAAAAGTTTGGGGCCGCTGCTCTGGAGCATCAACCTTGCGAACTCCCAGGTTTCCTCTTTCCGCTATGTATTCAAAATGGACAGTGCTTAATATTTATATGTATGTACAACTGCAACGATTCGCTTAAGCACCGTGGCGAGAAAGGTCGCAAAATGGTTTAAAACTCACTTAGTAATGGAATTTGGACTCAGCGGTAGTCCTAAGTCAAGGACTAGCCGAATGCTGGGGTCTTCAGGCGGTCATCTCCTCTGCTTCTCCTCCACCCTTAGGAGAATGGGCGACCCGGGCCCAGCTCAGCAGCAGGACATCGCTGACCATTTACAACGTCACCCGAGCTGACAAAGGCATCTACCGGTGTGAGGTCGTAGCTCCCGATGACGCCAATCTCGGTGCAGAGATCAACATTAACCTGACCATTCACGGTATGTTTCTTGATAAACTGGGATTAAGCATGTAGGCCAGGGCGGTTTCCCTTTATGGGAATCCATAGTGGAAAGCAAGTCTTTAAGAGCGAGTGAGTGTGTGTGTGTGTGTGTGTGTGTGTGTGTGTGAGAGAGAGAGAGAGAGAATCTTAACTACAAACAAGGTTTGTTCCAACAGCCTTCTTTCGAGGTGAACTATAGTCATTGCTTCATTAGCACCCCAAGACTTGGTCTTGCGCTTTTTCTCTCCCTCTTTTGTACTTGTGTGTGCATGTACACACACGGTCCTGGTCCCCAGAAAGGGGATACATGATTAAGTACACATGGCTCCTTTATGGAAAGTCAAGTCTTCTGTTGTTTTCAGTGCTCCTGCTCTTGAGTAGCACACACCCTCTCCAACAACTGAGGGTGGTGGTGGTGGATCCCATCCTTTACCTGGACTCTTTAGATCAGGGATCCCCAACCCCTGTGCCACAGCCCACTACCGGGCTGTGGCCTATTTGCAACCCGACCGCGGGCTGGAGCACACTCACAGTAGCGGCAGGCCAGACTTGTAGTTGAGCTGTGTGTGCATGCTTATGTGCACTGGCCTGTTTGCATGAGTTGAGTTGTGCATGTCTGTGTGCCACATGCACACACGGCCCAGTTCCTCTCTCCCCCCCCCCCCAGCCGGGCCGCCAAGCCCCAAATGTTGGAGACCGCTGCTTTAGATCATGGCCTTTCCAAAGCTTTGTGTGTATGTCCTTTGTGCTGTGTAGCTTTTCCTACTGAAGCAGACTAATAACTTGACCAACTGGTGCCTCGTGAGATTAATATAATATAGTCAGGCTTGTCCTGCAAATCTTTTATCCGTCCAGCTGGATGTCTTAACGTCCAGGCTATGAATGAGGAGTGATAATGAATACTCCGCTCCTAGTATGAAGAGCATTCTAATTTTCCCGGGCTGAGAGTGATTTTACCTTCTGGTTTTTCTTTCCGGAGATTGCAGACTGTTGAATAGGAAATTTTCATGAAGGTATGAGTGTGGTTCTGTACCCAGTAAATCATGGTTGGATTGATCTGCATGAACAAAGAGATCTTCAACCCAGATACTATCCTATATGCCTGAAAGATTTTGACAGGATGTGACTCTGCTTTCACTGACTATTGTTCCTTCATGGCATCTGGAGCAACGATTGTGGGTTTATGATGAACTCTGTTTTCACCAGCTTGATAATAAAGCTGCAGTTTGACAATAGCCTGTTTTGCAGGCCACCAGAGTTTGCTACAAATCACAGTCTCGGGATCTGTCCAAAGGCGAGACTTGGAGACAGTGGGATTGAATGATCTTGGCTGTATAGAGGAGATAGGAGAATGTAGCATGTTAAATGCAAGGCTGAGTACCCATTTCTTGCTGCTTGTATCTCTTGCATTAAACCATGGTTTCACGGGATGTGCGGATAAGTCTGGCAGGCTGAATGTGGCAAGAGCATGCTTCTTAGCAACCTATGTGCCAACGCTCGCTCCTCGCAGTTGACGATCTAACAGATCAGGTACTTTGAGGGCCATCTTGACATGATCCCTAGGACTGTTCATTGCTCAGTGTGAGACACGCAGCTTTGATTGCGTTCCCTAGAAATGAAAGGCAAAAACCTGCTCCAAGTACAGCTGTACATATTCCACAGCATGTATGATACTGTTGAATTTCTGACTTTCCCAAATGCCCTTTTCCAAAGCTGGCTCAGAAGTACTGTAGTCCTTGACTTATGACTGTAACGGAGGCTAGAATTTCTTCTCGTTAAGTCGTGACATTCGTAAGTCGAAGCATCCACGCGACTGGACCCGTTTTTACGACCTTTCCTGCAGGAGTCAATTTTGGCTCGGTCGTAACTTGGAACGGTTACTAAGTGGCTGGATGTTAAGCGAGGACTAACCGTAGTCCTCTCTGTTCCACACCGAAGAACGCTAAAACTGAGAGTGGGTGATGCTGGAAATTATCCTCCGGTCTGATGCACATCCTCTTCTGCCATTTTCCCTGCAGTCAAACCAGTGGCCCCCAAGTGTCGGGTGCCCCCCTCTGTTCCTGTGGGAAAACCCGCCACCCTCTATTGCCAAGAAAAGGAAGGATTCCCAGAGCCAAATTACAGCTGGTACCGTAATGATGAAACGTTGCCACTGGATTCCAAAGCCAGCACTAAGTTCCAGAATTCTTCCTTTACGGTGAACCCCAAAACTGGCACGTTGGTAAGTCTGGGGGGAGAACAAGAAGAAGCAGGGTGGATGTCCTAACTTGGAGAAGGATTTGGAAGAGATTAATTCAGCTGGGCGTTTCCCTAGTCAATGTTTTTGTTAATTAGTTTTTGTTAGTGTGGGGTCCTTGGTGCTCTCTGAGCTTGGTTGTTTTCTTGCAGACGTTTCGTTGCCCAACTAGGTAGCCTCATCAGCGCTAGAGAGGAGTGGGGTGTGTGGAGAAGAGGAGGAGGACTGTGGGGTCCTTGGTGCTCTCTAAATTTGGTTGCAGATATTTCATTGTGCGATTAGGTAGTGTCATCAGTGCTAGAAAGGAGTGGGATGTGTGAAGAAGAAGAAGAAGAAGAAGAAGAAGAAGAAGAAGAAGAAGAAGAAGAAGAAGAAGAAGAAGAAGAAGAAGAAGAAGAAGAAGAAGAAGAAGAAGAAGAAGGAGGAGGAGGAGGAGGAGGAGGAGGAGGAGGAGGAGGAGGAGGAGGAGGAGGAGGAGGAGGAGGAGGAGGAGGAGGAAGAGGAGGAGGAGGAGGAGGGCTAGGACTATGAGGGTCCTTGGTGCTCTCTGAGCTTGGTTGTTTTCTTGCAGATGTTTCATTGCCCGACTAGGTAGTGTCATCAGTACTAGAAAGGAGTGGGGTGTGTGGAGAAGAGGAGAAGGAGGAGGACAATGACTGTGGGGTCCTTGGTGTTCTCTGAGTTTAGTTGTTTTCTTGCAAAAGTTTCACTATCCAACTAGGTAGCATCATCCATGCTAGAAGGGAGTGGGGGCTTGCTCTCTGTTTATATACCAAGTGGCTTGCCCTGTCCAATCAAGGAACCACCAAGAGCACCCCCACCAGCACTGACAGGGCAAACCACTAGTATATAAAAAGACAGCCAACCCATCTCCTCCTAACACTGATGAAGTTACCTAGTCGGGTCATGAAACGTCTGCAAGAAAACAAGGGAGCACCAAGGATCCCAGTCATTGTTGTCCTTCTCCTCTTCCTTCTCTTTGTCCTCCTCCTCCTCCCCCTCCTCCCCCTCCCCCTTCTCCTCCACTCCACACCCACACTCCCTTCTAGCACTGATGATGTGACTTAGTCAGACAATGAAACGTCAGCAAGAAAACAGCCAAGCCCAGAGAGCGCTAAGGACCCATTTTTTCAACCAATATTCTCCTCTGACGATAACACGGTTATATTTGGTTGAAGCTTTTGATTTAAGTTTCTAACCAACCAACGGTGCAGAATGGGGAGAGGAGGAAGCAGGAACCTCTGCGATTCAAAACAACAACAACTTTGCAATTCAGATGGGGAAGAATATTATGGCCAGGACTGGTTTATATCTATGATCCTGTCCAGTGAATCCAAAGCCTGCCGTTTATGAGCTTTCAGTTCCATACAGCAGGGAATCAGAAAAGGCCGGGCAAGGAGGAAGAGATGGCTGCCTTGGGAGGAAACATATGGAAACCTAGCATGGCAATAAAGCAAAAAATAAAATAAAATAATCTAGATTTCAACTGTTCTTTCCTTTGTTCCTTTTTCTACAAGCAGAGCTGGTTTCTTTCCCATTCTTCTTCTTCTTTTTTTTTTTATAATGACAGGAAGCTTGCAAACTTGCAGCACACACACTTCCTTCCCAAGCCATGCTCCAGAATGGCACGGTTTCCTGCAGGTGGGGTTTGGGAACTGAAATTCTCCAAGCGCAGGGGGGGAAAACTCACCGTGATTCTCCTTTGCGCACAGGCCTTTGCCGAAGTCCAGAAAGGAGACTCCGGTCGCTACAGCTGCAGAGCCAAGAACGTCGTGGGCGAAGCCTGGTGTGAAGGGATAGAAATGGAAGTTTGTGAGTAGCAGGGCGATGGTCTGGCACCAGAGGGTGGGATGAGGGGCAGGGTTCTGTTCAGCTCACAGTCTTTCTTTCTTTCTTTCTTTCTCTTTCTTTCTTTCTTTCTTTCTTTCTTTCTTTCTTTCTTTCTTTCTTTCTTTCTTTTTCTTTCTTTTTCTTTCCTTCCTTCCTTCCTTTTTCTTTCCTTCCTTTTTCCTTGCCTCTTCCTTCCCTTCCTTCTTCTTTCCTTCATTTTTCCTTGCCTTCTTCCTCCCTCCCTCCCTCCCTCCCCCTTCCTTCCTTCCTTTTTCTTTAATTTTTTCCTTCCTTCCTTTTTCCTTGCCCTTCCTTTCTTTTCTTCCTCTCTCTCTCCCTCCCTCCCTCCCCTCCCTCTTTTTCCCTTCCTTCCTTCCTTCCTTCCTTCCTTCCTTCCTTCCTTCCTTCCTTCCTTCCTTCCTTTCTTTCTTTCTTTCTTTCTTTCTTTCTTTCTCTTTCCCATCCATCTCGTATCCAGTGACTCTGGGTGACTAAGACTTCCTTCTGGAGATAGATGCTTTGGGTGGTAGTCAGGACCATGAAGTCAGAATATTCTAGTTGAGGGAACAGAGGAATGGGGATATGTCAGCTGAGGTCCCTTTTCTTTCTGCAGATGACCTTAATGTTGTTGGGATCGTGATCGGCGTATTGGTGGTGCTGGTCGTTCTGTCCCTGACTACAGTGGGGATCTGCTGTGCCTACAGGAATGGTTTCTTTGTCCACAACAAACAAAATGGAAACAGGTAACAACTTAATTGTCGAGCGCTGGGCTTATGAACAAAAAGGAAATACATGCACACATAGCAGGATATAATATTTCTTTTGTGCTACTCATAATAATAAGGAAAAAAAGGACAAAAAAGAGAAGAAATATGGCCGGTGGCAAATCATGTTATAAACAGAATCACTCGAAAAATGTTGACTATGTTGCTCAGAAATCTTCTTTTCCTGAGCAAGGGTTTTCCCCCCACTTTCCCCCCCATCCTTCTTTAGTAGAAAAGCACTGGAGGCAATTCAGAAGCGGCTAGAAATGCAACTTAGAGAAAGAAATTCAGTCTAGCTGGAAGGGTTTTCAAAAGAGGCAAGATTGGATGTCATTAATGCTGCATTTCTGTAGACAGTTAAGGGAGAATGATAGAAAGCCAAGGAAAAATTTTGACCAGAGTATTTATGTCACTTTAGCAGCGCTGGGCCAGGTTTAAATGTTGGCCCTTGCAAAATAAATTAGGGCAATAGCACTTAGTCTTATATACTGTTTCACAGTGCTTTACAGCCCTGTCTAAGCGGTTTACAGAGTCAGAATAAATTGCCCCCTACAATCTGGGTCCTTTACCGACCTCGGAAGGATGGAAAGCTGAGTCAACTTTGAGTCGGTCAGGATCGAACTCCTGGCAGTGGGCAGAATTAGCCTACAATACTGAATGAATGAATGAATAAACAAACAAAAAAATAGATAGATAGATAGATAGATAGATAGATAGATAGATAGATAGATAGATAGATAGATAATGTAAAATGGCTGAGTTTACTGGCATTGGCCAAGCAACCTGGATCCCCAAATTTCCTCTTTCCTTGTATGTCTCTGCTGGATGAAAGGAAATGAGGCTTGTCCGTTACACCAGCAGCCTTAAGTAACAAATCCAATGTAACAGATGGCTTCAGAATTAGCCCTAACAGGAAATAACACACCAGGAAGAGGAAAAGCATGCCAACACCAGCAAGGAGAGATAACTCTTCTTTTTTTTTTTTTTTAAGTTATTCAGCTGACTCAGGCTTTGAAGCTGGTGGTTCTCTGAAGATCTTCCATCTTCTCTCAGAAAAACTGAAATTGCAAGGATTTCCCTTTTGGATTGTCTTCCTCTGTAACTTTAGCACACAAGAGACTCCCAAATCACATGCAGGAAACCTTGATTTTAATGTTAATGCAGTGGCTCTCAGCAAATTTGCCTGGATGTCCTTTGCATATTTTATGTATATCATGCACATTTTTACATATTTGATGTACATCTTTGATAGGGTTTTTGCCTTGATTACACATATTTTATGCAGATGTAGACTCATGTTTGGCTTCCACTCACCCCTTTTCTCTCTTAGTCCATTAAATAAAAGGAGTTTTGTAATTGATTTTAACACAATAGAACCGAAGTAGAAAGGAACTGTTTAGGGATGTCCAACCTTGGCAACTTTAAGACATGTGGGCTTCAACTCCCAGAAGTACACCAGATGATAAAGCTGTTGTAGGTACAGATCTGCAAATGGCTCATGCCTATCCACAAGAATCTATCAACCAATGGCCAGCATGACATTGGCGCTAGATACGAGTTAACAGAAATCAAAAGGGTTTGGATTTAGACCATTTGTGGGAACGTAAGGACTTTAGGCTGATTGCTCTCTTGACTCCACCCTCAGGCTCTGCCTGTCCTTCTCCTACAAAGGAAGAGATACAACGTGTTGTTTTTAACTGATGTGGTCCAACTAAACATTGCCTTCCCTTCCCAGCTACAAGACTCCAGCGAAGCCAGATGGCGTGAATTATATTCACACAGATGAGGAGGTAAGGGCGTCTTCTTAGACCAAAGGACAGTGAAGGCATTCACAAGAATGACTATCTTCTCCTCCCCATCCCAAGAAAATAAAGACCTATGCCAGAGCCCAATATTAGCAGATGGTTACAACTTCCATTTCTTTGGGGATAAATGTTGGGTAAGATTTTGGGGCATGTTGCACTCGTGTGTTCATTTCTGCTGAAGGACCTCTCTGTAATTCTAACAAAGAATAGGCAGGAGATGCAGCTGCTTTAACAAGTGGCAGACAATTGCTGCATTCCCCTTCCCCAAAATACTGTACCTTTTGGGAGTCAGATCCAAAGCATTGCTCTGCTTAACTAAGGATGCAGCTTTCCTGGGAAGATTTGTGAGGGTCCCACTATTCCTATCCAAGATTGCTAATTAATCCCACCTCTGTTCTGAGTCCAAAGGAAGAAGAATCTAGGAGTGCCCAAGGAAGGAAACATTGGTCTATGGCTTCGTTTGCTTAACCGTAGATACCCAAACAAAGAAGAGGCTATTGATGGAAGATAATATTTGTAGCTCAGGGTTGATCTCTGGGGTCCCTAATGCTCTCTGAGCTTGGTTGTTTTCTTGCAGACGTTTCATGACCCAACTAGCTAACATCATCAGTGTTAGGAGGGGGGAGGAATTGCTCTCTGTTTATATACAAGTTCTTTCTAGCACTGATGATGTTATCTAGCTGGGTCATGAAACATCTGCAAGAAAACAAAAGAGAACCCAAAGACTCCACAGTTGAAGCCCCAAGAAGAGACTGGACAGTTGTTTGCCTGAGATGGTATAGATTCTCCTGCTTGAGCAGGGGGCTGGACTGGAAGACCTCCGAGGTCCCTTCCAGCTCTATTCTATTCCTCCCAATCCTCCTCCCTTTTTCTTTCTCCTGCACTCCACAAACCCAACTCCCTTGTGATTCGAATAATGTTATCTAGTTGGGTAATGAAACATCTGCAAGGAAACCACCAAGTTCAGAGAGTAACAACGAGCCCCACAAGAAGAGGGTATATTGAATTCTTACAATTTACAAAATGGGATATTTGGGTTTTATGCAGTATGCCAAGCTAAAACCAAGTCTGCTTCAGAAGGGTTGGATGCAATAGCAGAATTTACAAATACTTTTTGTAAATTCTGCTTGGGTTGACCTCCAGAGACGCTGGAAAAATTGAACCCTCAGCCTCCGTGGCCATTGACCAAGCAAGTTGCATCTTCCAACAGTTGTCGGGCGACAGCTCTTAATCTCCTTTTCATTCCAGAAGAGAGTTTGGTTTAATTTGGGCCAAAGTAGAGGAGAAAGGTACGCACAAACGCACCCCCCCCTTAACAAGCTGTGCTGTGTCTTTGCTGCAGGGTGACTTTAGACACAAGTCCTCCTTTGTGATATGAAACGGCAGAGACACTTGGATTTGGCCCGGCGGCGAGAGCAGAGCGCAGAAAACCTTCCTCTCAACTCCTCCTTGCGCAAGGGGCGACCGCTGATGTGTGTGTGTGTGTGTGAACGTGACCCTTTTTTACTCCTTTCTAAAACATTTACAGGCACCCGGGTGCAATGGCCGGTGGCTGGTTTTATTTTTTATTTTTTTAAAAAAACTTTGTTGTTGCCAAAGTCAAACCCTGGTTTTTTAATTGCCAAACTGCCATCTTCCACTCCAGAAGCAACCGTCGCCAACACCAGGTGGAGAGACTTCAACCTCTGGCAGGAGAAAAAACTGCTTCTGTGAAAATCTCTGGGGATCTACTACACCGAGGCAGCATCGAAAACAAACTTCTGCTCCAGTCTAGTCGCTCTCCTCTGCTTTAGGCAGACTTCGATTGCCCTTTCCCAGGCCAGGCTGTGCATTCCAAGCATCTCTTTGGGTTGCTAAGCAACAGCATACAACAACAACAACAATAACACAACAAAAAGCCAAGCCTTCTGACTTTTTGAACTCTGGTACCCAGGACTGAAGACCGAATTTTTCTCCTGTTCCTTCTTGCGTTTGTAGAATTCTGCAGTCTAATTATTTTTCTCTCTTTTTGGGGGTGGGGTTTTTGTTTGTTTTTGGCAAAGATGTATTTTGATTACTTTTTTTTAAAAGTCCTTTTTGTGTTTTTTTTTTATTTAAAATGTAAATAGGTTGGTAGGCCAAACGGTGTTAATTGTAATAACGTAGTGACTTTTGCAGGGTTTCTGGTTCATGCTGTCCAGTACTGATTCCAGCCATTATCAGTATTAACCGAAAGTGCAGAATATGCCGTGGGGCAAAACACTTTATTCCTTTCATGGGGTAGGACATTTATCTTCCCTTTGCAGAAAAATAGGAGCACAATCAAAAGACTTGTCCAACTAGCAAGAACATAAAGAGGAGGCCTTAAAGGTGTATTGAATTATTTTGTAAGTGGTAGGCATCTTATGATTATGACAAGATGCCCAAAACAGACGCTCCCAAATTCATTTGAGGGGTGCTCAAAAGTTACTGAGTTCTAAATTTTGGATGGGCCCTTTAGGTCCTGGGAAGGCTAAAACCATACAGCAGTTGTCAAATGAAACTCCGTGATTTAGCCAGCCAAAAATGGAGGGAACTCTGATCTTATGTGCATCATCTCCCTTTATTGACAGTTCCACACGGGAAAACACTTATCTCGTCCGTTGAAGAAAAAGAGGAAAGAGAGGATGGAGTGTAGTTAAATCTGCAATTCCCTCTCTAATTTTTCTGTTCAGGTAAGTATGGGAGCTGCCAACCTATCCGGCCTATAAGCAAGCAACTCCTAGCAATTCCCACAGCAGCAGCTGTGGTCTTCTCTGGTCTACAGCAGAAGCATCAAAGCTTGGAAACTTTAAGACTTGTGGACTTCAGTTCCCAGAATTCCCTAGCCAGTCGTGCATGGCTGGCTGGGGAATTCTGGGAGTTGAATCCACAGGTCTTAAAAGTGCCAAGGTTGGATACCCTTGTTTTACAGCAAGGATCTTACGATTTGCTGTGTTGGAAAAAGTGACTTTTTCTCCCCCAAAACGCAATATTTTTTAAGGACATCCTTTTCAGCTTCCAAGTTCATAGTCTTAATTCTGAACGGAGACAGTATTTTTTTTTTATTACCTACGAAGATGTAGGACTGGGTTTGTTGATCTTCTGTATTAACCTGCCTTAGAATAGCCAACACATTGGATCGGTTTGCTTTATCTTTTTTTAAGGAAGTTGAGAAGACCGTGGTGCATTTCATTTCTAACAGTTTTAAATTCCAAGGATAAAGTGGCACTAAATTTAAGGCAGGGGAGGGGATGTCACAGTGTGCCCCAATGTTACAATGTGCCCCAATCCAGCCAACTTGGTTTGATTTTAACCGTGGCTACCTCGGCATTTGACCAAAGCAAGGTGTTTATCCACTGCCAATTTTTTTTTTTCTTTTTCTCTGTCAACTTTATTTATGATCGAATGAGGTTGCCTTCTGGATCAAAATGGCTTTTCCTTCTGCCTTAGTATGTTCACTAACCCTTTTCCAAGGCTGCCTACCTGACACCCAAAAACAGGAAAATCCTTGAATATTTAGTGGAGAACGAAAAATCGATACTGCTTGCCTTCGGGATATATCTACACCAGAGGTGTCCAACCTTGGCCATTTTAAGGCTTGTGGACTTCAACTCCCAGAATTCCCCAGCCAGCATGGGAAATGGCTGGGGAATTCTAGGACTTGAAGTCCACAAGTTCTTCAAGTCACCAAGGCTGGACACCCTGGTCTACATTGTTACACTCGTAACCTGGATTAATAGGTAGGGTTGACCACCAAGGACAGGTTAGAAATCAAAGGAGACTGAATCTCATAGTTGGACCATCTTCTTTGCAAAACTAAGTTTTGCATGCTAGAAAGCAGGTTCAAGGAATTTTGATTCTCGGTAGGCTTTGGCAGGTACAAAGTTCAGTTGACCAGCAGGATTAGGGCCTCTAGGCATGGTTTTTGGCGCCAGGCTGATGTTGAGAAGGTCAACTCAACTTGAGGTGCAGCATGATCTTCCCATTTTGCTGTTCGACTCTTGTTCTGCCCAATGCTGAGTATGATAAGAGCAGTGGAATATGTTAGAAGAGTTATCTATACCTGAAGAACCTAAGATCGTAGAAGGTCAGAGGTGAGTTAGGCTGGGAGTTGTCACACAACTTTGTTGGGAATGAAGCAGATGGGGACTGCTCAGCCTATAATCATTTATCAACTATGGGGAAGATTCTTCAGGGTTTGAAACACCAGTTCGTTACCTGCAGAGATTTTTCCGTAGCAACTTAAACAGGTTGGTGATTTAAGGTAGTATAATCTATCATTCAAACCCTCGATCTGTGCCAGATTGGCATGGCTCATTAACGTATTTCTTACTTTAAGGAACGGGGTGATCCAGATCCTAGAAAGGACTATTAGTGGCATGGGATGAGTCAATTGAAATTTCTTCCACCAAAGTCAGGTCAATTAATCCTGGTTAAATTTGTAAAGGGCACAAATGCTTCCAAGTGACTTCTTCAAAAGCGGTCATCTTATGTGAGTTAGAAACTCTTTCCAAAGATTTACAGTCTTTTGGGTCTCAAAAAGGCACCATTGGAAATCTCTTTCAACAAACAGGTCTCCACAAAACGCATTGTAAATACTTGATCAGTTTGTACTAATGTATTGCATAAAACTTTGCGGAGAATGTTTTACATAAATATATATATAAAAGTTCTTCTGGACAACGTTTGTGCTGATGGTGGTAGTGAGATCCCCTGCGTGGGGGTTACGGCTGCAGGGTTACTTTGGATGCAACGTGGGTGAAGTTTAGTTATTCCTGCAGCTGCCTAGTATGGTTAAATCCTCAAAGGTATGACCACAAACAGAATTTTGGTTGCTAAGCAAGGCAGTTAAGCAAGTCAACGCCTGATTTTATGACCTTTTTTGCCACAGTTGTTAACCAAGTCACTACAGTTAAGTGAATACAGTTCCCCTCTCCCCCCCCCCCTTGACTTTGCTTGTCAGAAGCTGGCTGGGAAAGTCATGAATGGCAATCACATGAGCCCAGGAATTGCAACTGTTTAAATACATGCCAGTGGCCAAATACCTGATTTTTGATCACATGACTTTGGGGAGGCTGCGACAGTTGTTATGTGCGAGGACCGGTCCATAAACCACTTTTTCCAGTGCTGTTGTCACGTCAAATGGCCAGTGAGTGATTGTAAGATAAGGACTCTCTTGTGGTTACGTTCTTCTCCTTGTCTTTAGCAAAAGTTCCTGGACAGTAGTTAAGAGTGATCAAATATTTATTCCCAATCCTTATGGGGGGGGGGGAGAATTAGGACTCACTAGGAGTTTGAAGCCAGATTGGTACACGCACCTAAGGGAAAAAAGCACACACAAGTGCAGTTCATTACCATCTCTATCCTGGCGTATCAGTTTTCATTGTGTGCTGCAGGGGGAGGCTAAAGCTGAAGGGTAGCAACCTCTGATAGGAGAGGTACACCTCCAGGTGAACATCACATCACAAACCTGGATCTCTTTGACCTTGGTCCTTGTTTCCATCAGCTGGAACGGGGTGGTGGAGCTCTTGCCTCACAGTAAGGAGGCTGTGAGTTCAATTCCAGGTAGCAGCAGATATTTCTCTCCCTGAGCGCGAAGTGAAAATATTGCTGTGAACTTCACCTAGGTGTCAGGAAGGGCATCCAGCCAGCAAGCACTCAGCTCCATACAGTTGCCCTGACTCCACTTCAATGCAAGGAATTACAAGGTTGTTAAAAGAAAAAAATGCTTCCATCAGCAAATGGGATCTAGATGGATGTTGGTCTGATGTATCTTGTCCTGCCTTCTAATGATACAATGAACAATATGTGATGGACTGATTACAGTATGGATGGACGGACGGACGGATGAAAGAACTGGCTCTCAGTTGCAAGTTACCAACTGATCAAGGAAGACACTGTTGAGGCTTTGGGATGAAATGTGTACATTGCTTTTTGAAGAGTATATGCACCCTTACAAGTAAGAACTATGCTTAACAACAGTCTATTTTTTTTTATGTCTCGCTGAATTGTTTTTAAAAGGGAAAAAGCAAAGATTTAAGAACTGTCTCCAGACAGCTAAATCTTCACAAAAGAACTCTAAAACAACTGAAAATTGAGACATTGGATCAGTTGAAGCCTCTATAGGTTGTGACAGCAGTTTGTGCTTTTCCTTTGAAGCAATAAATTCCAGTCAATGGACTCAAGATAACATTTCTCCAACCTCTCGGTATGACAGTCTTTCACCAGTGAAGGCTCAACAAGGACTAAATCTCTCAAACCAAATCTTTGGTGATTCTTACGACAAGCCGCTGTGAAAAACAATCTTCAATTCTCTGAAACTGTCCTTTTGTAACGCGAAGTAGAAGGGAGACTGAAGTCAATCCCCGGAAAGGTTTTCAACCTGTAATGTTAATAAAAATGAATAAGAATTAGATTCTTGGTAAAGGCATTTTCCCTTGCACATATTTCTCAGCCAGGTCAGTGCATCTGTTCAGTGCAAGAAAACACTCCTTATATAAAGCAGTTCTTTTCCCCCCCCCCAAATCCTGTTTCATGTACCCAGATGTTCCACAGAGAATTAGAAAAGGTGGATTGGTTTCCAAAAGATGGTTTTAGAATCTTCCTACTTTAAATGTACATTGTATATCAAGAGGAAAAAGAAAGGGGAAAAAAAGTCATTGCTGTCAGCAATGAAACGCTGGCCTCATTCCAATTTAACTACATGCAAAGCAGAATAGAACTGGTGACACCAGGGAGCTTGACAAAATGCTCTTGAAAGGATTAATCCTAAAGAGCCTATAAAATGTTTGGAACTTAAAAAAGATTTCTGAGGGACTCTGAAGGACCAACAAAATTGCAGAGAATAAAAGATTCGGTGCAGTCTGCATAACGCTAGACTAGGGAACTCTGTTCTAGCCTTCCATACCATCATTTTCTTTGTAATTCTTCTCACCGGAGATGAGTTTTTAATTCAATTTTTATATAGAAAGCCAGTTTGGTTTAATGATGAAGGCACCAGGCAACAACCAGGAGATGGTGAGTTATATTCCTCCCTTAGGCATGAAAGCTGACTGGGAGACTTTGGGCGAATCACCAGGAGACGGTGAGTTCTAATCCTGCTTTAGGCATGAAAGATGGTTGGGCGACTTTGGGCCAATCACCAGGAGACAGTGAGTTCTAGACCTGCCTTAAGCATGAAAGCTGGCTGGATGACTTTGGGCCAGTCACCAGGAGACTGAGTCCTAGTCCAACCTTAGGCATACAAGCTGGGTGGTTTTGGACCAATCACTAGGATACCATGAGTTCTAGTCCCGCCTTAAGCATGAAAGCTGACTGGAGGACTTTGGGCCAATCACCAGGAGATGGTGAGTTCTAGTCAAGCTGGGTGCTTTTGGACCAATCACCAGGAGATTGTGAGTTCTAGTCCCAATTTACACATGTAAGCCAGCTGGGTGACAGGCCACTCACTCTCAGCTCATGATGTCAAGCTTGGGACAAGCCGGCTAGTCAATCCTGCCTCAACCATCCATCAACTCAGCTGATTAAAAAAAAAATATGGAGCCCACTTGTGGGTCAATGATAGGAAGAAAAAAAATCTAATATTTACATAGAGTGCTTGGATCTCCATCCAAAAATATGTCTCGGACCACAACACAACTTCTGGGATCCCCACCTTCCAATAAAACATTTCTCAAACCATGCTTACCGATTCATCGGGCCCCCTGGACGAGCGTTTTCCTGTTGGACCTTAGCGCTCTTTCCCAATGAGATTAGCAAAAGAAGGAAAGGAGACATGAGGTTTTGACTCAAGGCAAGTGGTAGCACTTGGAATTCGTAAAAGTATTTATTGCGCATAGAATAAAATTAAAAACATGGTATGAACGTAATAAATAATCTTCACACCGGGGTTGAAGTCCCTCACATGTGATGACAGCTTAGCCGGGGTCTCCAAACTTGGCAGCTTTTTAAGAATTGTGGACTTCAACTCCCAGAATTTATGGTTAGGGAATTCTGGGAGTTGAAGTCCACAAGTCTTACAGTTGCCAAGTTTGAAGCCCCCTGCTCTAGAGATACCTTTTCTCTGCAGGAGAAAATATGGATTCAGTTCCAGCGAGATTATGAGGTTGCAGTAGGTCTTTCGCTTTTTGGGTTGCACAATCATTTTCATGGGGAGGAATGACTATGCAATTTCAACATGCAATTCTTCCAGGAGACTCATCTCCCCCCCCCCCCAAAGCTTATCCCCTTGTTTGCATGGTCTGGCCTAGACCAGAGACACGGACATATGGAACTATATCTTTCTTCTGTCTGACCTTAGATTCACCATCCTTCAACAGATGCAAAATGAGGATGTAAATGAAACTTAGTGCTAGGTGTTGGCTATTGGAAAGACTTAGAACAGGGGTCTTCGGACTTGGCCCCTTTATGACTTGTGGACTTCAATTCCCAGAATTCCTCAGCCAGCGTGGCACGCTGGCTGAGGAATTTTGAGAGTTGAAGTCCACAAGTCATAAAAGGGCCAAGTCTGAAGACCCCTGAGTTAGAACATCACCTGTCAATAGCCAGAGCAAGTCCCAGACCTATAGCTTCACTGACCCCAATCAACACAATTACTCCAGATGATATCCATGGATCAAACAAACTACACGGCTTTGTCACGCAGCAATTAGTTATTTCCAGCTACAGTGCTTAACAGATTATTTAGAGCACACCGATTATAAAAGCAAGCAAGCAAGCGTGCCACGCTGGCTGAGGAATTCTGGGAATTGAAGTCCACAAGTCATAAAGGGGCCAAGTCCGAAGACCCCTGTTCTAAGTCTTTCCAATAGCCAACACCTAGCACTAAGTTTCATTTACATCCTCATTTTGCATCTGTTGAAGGATGGTGAATCTAAGGTCAGACAGAAGAAAGATATAGTTCCATATGTCCGTGACACAGGGAGAATAAAAAGAAGAGTTAGGAGGCATCATCAATCAATGATCTCCCAAAAAGGTGCAGATGATGTGGAGGGCGATCTAAAAACATGATTCTGCTTGTAGGCAAGACGCAACAAGTCATTTTGTTGATTGTCGGGAAGTTCTACGGCTGGATCTCCTCAGCCCTATACTTGATGGACTGCTTCTTCTTGGAGAATTCACCCTCCATTGTGGAGGCTGGGGTAATCTACAAGAGAAAGCAGAAAAGAAGTAAAAAAACAAACAAACAAATAAAACGTCCAGGAGATCCAGCAGAGATTGATTATACTCTAAAACTAGGAGCATAAGATGACCACATCGCTAAAAGAAATATAAAATTGGGGTAATAAGAATTAAGAGATGGGGGAAGGCTTCTTATCTACCACGCATTTACTTTGACCGTTTAGTACTTCAGATCCTTGTAGACAGCTTTAGCATGCAAGAAACCTGTATTGTCATGGTTCCGACAGTTGAAATTCTTCAAAGAACTTCGAGGCATTGTTTACCTTAAAGAGGCAAAGCCAAAATCTGAATTCCCCTCCTCTGAGCACATAGGATCAAAGCACAATTCCCTCCTGTAATTAACAGTCATAAATCACATTCTCCAATTAGTTTGAAATGCAGGCTTTCCCTCCAGTTCTTCAACCCGCCATTTCTTATTATCTCTTATTTCAAAAAAGCTAGGTTCTCACACTAGTTACAATATTGTTATGTCTAACTAAATTCCCATGCACATTCCTCCTCCCCCTCCCCAGTACCATCTAATTCTAAGAGTAAAACATAAGAAGGAAAATGGCTGCATCTCCATATGTTGTCAAAGTAAGGACATCCGATGTTGGCAGCGTTGACACATTCATTTGACTTCCTGATTTTTCCCACGCTCAACAAGTAGTGTTCAAAGGGTGACAATAAATTGGGGTAGATAATGCTTAAATCAGGGGTCTCCAACACCCTAACCCAGAAACCGGTCCGCGCAAACAAGCCCCATCCGTGGGATGCAGGCAGCACACGAAACCACGCTCCTGTAAGGACCCACCCCACTTTGCATCTTAAGAAGACAGAATTCTTGGAATATTTCTTCCAACAGGCATCCTTTATTAAGAGAAAATGGTTGCAGGCGTTCTAGACAGGACCTGGGGCCCAAGCCCTACGGTTGAAGGTTTTAAGGGGTCCCCAGCAGCCTCACTCCACCATCTTTCCAGCGACAATCCCAGGCGTTACATTTCCACCCCCTTTTTCCTCACTGCTGGCGGAAGGGAGACTTCAGAGAGGAGCAGATGAAAGTTGATGGCCCCATTGTTATGATTTAATCCTTTTGGTGGTATCCACATTCAATCCTTTGAAGTTGTACCGAAGGAAGTGAGGGCCATAAGACCCCTTTGTTCACCCCCCTTCCCCTTCATCGAATGACAGAATCCAGAGAGGGCAGAAATGGGGTTTCCCATAGTCGATAACTAGAGATGAAATATAATTGGATTCTGACAGCTCCCTCCGGTCTGTGGAAAAACCTCTCTCCACGGAACCGGTCCCTGGTGCCCCAAAGGTTGGGGGCCACTGGCTTAAATTACCCACCGTTGGATTCTCTCCCCTCCCACCCCGATCATGGGGGAAGAAGGACAGGGCAAAAAAGACACGTACAGTTCCATTTATACTCACAGTTTATCTGGGGATGTCAAGCAAATGATCTGCCCCTGTGAAGCTTCGGGTTCCTCTTTGACTGCAGAAGGAACAGAAGAGGCGTTAGCGAGGTTGCCTCTTCCAAGCTTAGTTTTTCAAAAAATACAAGAACGAAGCAGGACTCCACTTGCCTTTACAAGATGATGTGAGGTTCAGGGTAATTTGGCTGACTCCCGCTCCAAAGGTCACGTTGTTAATTGATTCTGGAAAAACAAAATGCACAATCTTTCACGCAAGCCGATGGGCAATTCGGTATTTATTACATTACATTTATTACATTTATACCTGGCCTTTTCACCAACGAATGTCACTTAACCAGCTAACAATAGTAAAGGGGATGGGCAGGGGAACCAGTCAGTCTCTCTCAGCCCAACCCACCTCACAGGGTCGTTGTGGGGAAAATGGGAGAAGGAAGGTGTATGGTAGATACGTTCACCACTTTGAGTTATTTGCTAGGTCCAATTGCACATGGCTGTGAGCGCCACCATCAGCCTCTGAATATTCAAAAATGCAAATTCCTCTTTGGTGCCATCAGAACTTGAAGATACAGGGGCCTCAGCGCTGCAGTCTCTATCTGCAGGTGTTTGGCAGTTTCAGATCCACTTTCAGTTACTACAGCTACGGTATGAACTGCTTTGGGATACCTGAAGAGACGTCAACTTGAGTGCAAAGTAAGCATTTTAAAATGTATTCTTGAAAATGCCAAAAATTGTGCATCATCGAAGTGTGACTATATACAATGCTAATTGAAAAGGCACCCAGTGGTTTTTTTGGAAACTGATCTTTTTCCAGCTAACCTAAACATTCAGGATAGTGAGGACAATCAACCAGTGGAACAGAATTTGCCTCCAGAAATTATGGGCACTCCATCACTGGAGATTTTTAAGAAGAGACTGGACAGTCATTTGTCTGAGATGGTATAGGTCCTCCTGCTTGAGCAGGGGGCTGGACTAGAAGACCTCCAAGGTCCCTTCCAGCTCTATTCTATTCTATTCTATTCTATTCTATTCTATTCTATTCTATTCTATTCTATTCTATTCTATTCTATTCTATTCTAGTCCAGTCCAGTCCAGTGGGGCATCCTTGCATGGAGCTGCCAATATCTAACTTGCTTGTCCTTTTCTCAAACTGATCGCATCAAGACATTGGTATGTGAGTTTGGAAAGCAACACTCAAACTAAGACTCTCTCTGGAGCAGTCCAGCTGCCCTACCTGCAAGCAAGGAGACTTTCAAACAAAAATAGATCTTTTTTTAGACACTTACGTTCAGGAGTACTGATGGCACGGATCTGTTCCAAGGATCTGTTAGTTATGGAAGATGGTCGGTTTAGGCTGCAAAAGGAAGCTAAGAAGGAAGGAAAAAAAAAAAAGAGAAGGACAATGTTAGCCACAGATAATACCCTGCGGTGAGGCACAACTGGACCAAAGGTGTTAGCCCAGTCCCCTAGCTTTCTACAAGCGATTTATTTGATATTTATTTATCTGTATCCCGCCTTTATTATTTTTACAAATAATTCAAGGGGCCAACATATGCAGCGCATCCTCCTCCGCCTATTTTCCCCACAAAAACACCCCTGAGACGTAGGTTCAGCTGAGGGAAAGTGACGGGTCTAAAGTCACTTGGTTGGTTTTTGTGTCTAAAACTTGCTGTCTCCTCGTGATTAGCTCCAAGTCACCCAGCTGACTTTCATGGCTAAGTCAGGACTAGAATTCCCAGTCTCCCACTTTCTAGCCTGGTGCCTTAACCCCTAGACCAAACTGGATGGGGAGCAGCCTACCTTTATCACTTTGTTCGCTCCCCAGAGACTCAAGCCCGGTCGCCATGCTCCTGCTGCGCTTCGTCTTAATGGCCTCGGCGGCTTTCTTTGCAGAGTTGAGGATGGCTAAAGTACTCAGGGACAAATTCCTACAAGGAGAACAAACAGCGCAGGGCTGGTGTTTTCACCCCAGCTCTAGGAGCTTTAAACATCCCCCTGCTGAGTGCTGGAGATGTATAACACCATGGTTAAAATAGCCATCCCCAACCTTTATGGCTTGGAGACCTGGTGGGACGGGGGGGGGGGGGGCAGGAAGAGGAGAACTGGCTGGCCACTTGCGCAAGTTGAGCTGTCCGCATGCACAGCTGTGCCAGCCAACCAGTCACTTGTGAAGTCCAGTTCTGAACGGGCCACGATCCAGGGGTTGGGGACCCCTGGTTTAAAACAGATAAGCGCGTTTTCATGCAACACGTGCTGAAAAGGGAGGGAAGAGATCCAGAAGCGTACCTGGGTCTGGGCTTCGTGGCTTCAGGCTCGGGCATTGTAAACATAGCATGGGCCGAGAGAGGAGATCGCAGAGGTGGAGAACTGCTTTGGGTAAGTGGGGAGGCCTCGTCCATCTGATTTTGAGGATGAGCAGTCCTCTCCAAGGTAGAGGGCTGTTATTTAAAGGAGAAAACAGAAGGGGGCTAAAGAACCAGCGCGGCAGCAAAGCACCCGAGGGCAGGGCAGGAAGCAACGGATGGAAACTAATCAAGGAAAGAAGCAGCCTAGAACTAAGGAGGAATTTCCTGACAGTGAGGACAATCACTGCTTCCAGAAATTGTGAATGCTCCAATACTGGAAGTTTTTAAGAAGAGACTGGACAGCCATTTGTCTGAAATTGTATAGCATTTCCTGCCTGAGCAGGGGGCTGGACTAGAAGACCTCCAAGGTCCCTTCCACCTTCTATTCTATTCTATTCTATTCTATTCTATTCTATTCTATTCTATTCTATTCTATTCCCTATTCCATTCCATTCCATTCTATTCTAACCATATTCCATTCCATTCTATTCTAACCATATTCCATTCCATTCTATTAATTCTAATTCTACTCTACTCTAATTCTATTCTACTCTACTCTTATTCTTATTCTAACCTCAACCACATCTCTTCAGAATGAAGCCATCTTTGTTTGTTTGTAAAATTTACTAGCCGCTCACTTTACTTCAGGTAACTCTGGGAGGCTTGCAAGGTAGATTCACTTAACAGTTGTGTTACTCCCTTAAGAACTGCAGTGATTCACAGTGGCAAGAAAGATTGCAAAGTGAGGCAAAAACCCCTTAACCACGGTCTCGCTTAGCGACAGAAAATTTGGGCTCAATTGTGGGGGTAAGTTGAAGGCTAACGCCATATTGCCCCTCTCCACTTCCATGGAGAACTCTGCTTTTAAGCAGCCCAGCTTGAGTGGCTTCAGAATGAGCTCGACGGGACTTGACCACAGCCGAACGGCAGATCAGTACCGGCCTGGCCGTCAACGTGTTGCGGCCTTCGTCATCCACGCTCAGCTCCTGGCCTTGCTCAGCCTCCGTCTCCAGCTGCTCCTCGTACTTCTTCATATCGTACTCCAGCTCAGCCGCCAGCTGCTTGTCCATGGCAAAGAACTCTTTGATCTCGTTGCGATAGTCTTGCATCACCTCCTGGAGCCAAAAACAACAACACCAAAATAAAAGCAAAAAGGTTGGAGGCGGTGGTGGGATTCAGCCAGTTCGCACCACTTCGGCAGAACCAGTAGCTAATTTTTTTTGTTGCCCAGGCCCAGAACAGACTTCCGGAAGTGGCATCCATGCAGAGAACCGGTTGTTCACCTATTTGAATCCCACCACTGCTTGGAGAGGGCTGAAGGAAGTTTGCTGGTTGGGTGTTCTGGATGGATGTGAGTTGATTTATTTATTTATTTAACCTACATCCCGTCTTCCATCATTTTTATGAACAATTCAAGGTGGCGAACACATCTAAGACTCCTCCTTCCTTCTATTTTCCCCACAGCAACAAACCTGTGAGAGGGAATTCTGGGAGTTGAAATCCACACATCTTCCAAGTTGCCAAAGTTGAAAACACTTCTATAGCAATGGCAATAGCCCTTAGACTTATATACCGCTTCACAGTGCTTTACAGCCCTCTCTAAGCGGTTTACAGAGTCAGCCTATTTGCCCCCCAACAATCCGGGTCCTCATTTTACCGACCTCGGAAGGATGGAAGGCTGAGTCAACCTTAAGCCGGTGAGAATCGAACTGCTGGCAGTGGGCAAAGTTAGCCTGCAATACTGCATTTTAACCACTGTGCCACTATGGGAAGGAAGGAAGGAAGAAAGGAAGGAAGGAAGGAAGGAAGGAAGGAAGGAAGGAAGGAAGGAAGGAAGGAAGGAAGGAAGGAAGGAAGGAAGGAAGGAAGGAAGGAAGGAATAGGACTTAGACAGCGCTTTACAGCCCTCTCTAAGCAGTTTACAGAGTCAGCCTATTTGCCCCCCAACAATCCGGGTCCTCATTTTATCGGCCTCAAAAGGATGGAAGGCTGAGTTAACCTTAAGCCGGTGAGACTGCTGGCAGTGGGCAAAGTTAGCCTGCAATACTGCATTTTAACCACTGTGCCACTATGGGAAGGATGGAAGGAAGGAAGGAAGGAAGGAAGGAAGGAAGGAAGGAAGGAAGGAAGGAAGGAAGGAAGGAAGGAAGGAATAGCACTTAGGCAGTGCTTTACAGCCCTCTCTAAGCAGTTTACAAAGTCAGCATATATTGTCCCCAACAAATCTGGGTCCTCATTTTACCAACCTGGGAAGGATGGAAGGCTGAGTCAACCTTAAGCCGGTGAGAATCGAACTGCTGACAGTTGGCAGGATTAGCCTGCAATACTGCATTCTAACTACTGCGTCACCAGGGCTCTATAAAGTATTGTCTTAGCTAAATCAAGATTGACTATGCCTACGCTTGGCTTCCACAGTGGAACATGAAAATGTCCCACTACCGCAAACCCTCCAGATGGGATAGCAATATTTCCCCCCCCCCCCCGACTCAAAATTTTAATGAAATGTCACGGTTGAGAAAGATTACCCGGAGGTAATTCATGAGGTCCCTCAATGCCGGAAGTTTATTTTGCTCCAACAAGGTCTTCAGCGAAGTAATGGTGGGAATGACGTTTTCAATGAAATTCTTCTTTTGAACCTAGAGTTTGGATTGAACACAAAGAGATAACCTTTAGGCGGGGAGGGTTGTCCACTCCAAACATTGGAGAGAGCACAGAATGAGGAAAGCCTTCGTAGAGATGGGATCAACTTTGGGCATTTGAGAACATTTCCAGGAAGGATGACTTGTAGCATTACAAGCAAGATGAGAAGTAAGGCGTCTCTTCCCACTGAAAGCAACTGTCAATTATTTTGCTCTGGAGCAAGTAAAAGGAACACCCTACTCCAGGTAGCACTATTTGTAAGACTCACTTGTGAAATCAGCTTCTTCTGGGCCACCTGCATGACGGCATTGGCCATGGCCAATTCATCTTCTTCCGGTTGGATGTCTTCTTCTGGTCTGGATCTCATGGCCGAGAGTTTGATCTCCTTGCAGCTCAAGATCTCAAAGGTATCCGAAAGCAGCTGGCTGGCTTCCATATTGAGAGGGAGGACCCCATCCACGAAGCAGGCTACAATCAAGTTTGGAGAAAGGAGAAGGAGAACGCCAAATGTCTATGGAGATTATTGTCCAGAACCTAGTTGTCCCAAAGGTGTTTTTTTTTTCAGGAGGCAACTGGACTTTCTTGTTTTCCTTTGAAGACGTTTTGCTTCTCATCCCAGAAGCTTCTTCAGCTCTGACCGGATTGGGGGGTGGGAATGGAAGGATTTATACTCCTTGCAGACAGCTGGTCATTTTCCTTCTTTTAGAGAGTCATTGAGGCCATTTGGAGGTTTGTCTGTGTCCTCAGGGTCACCTGAGTGGTGCAAATGGGTATGGAGCCTTCTTGGAACTGCAGAAAGGACTGAGATAGATGATGTAATGTGTCTCCCCCCCCCTCTGTTGAGACAAGACTGTCCAGTTTTGACCTAGATGGCCTCTTTGACCCCTCTTTCAAGCCAGCAGTCCTAAAGACATGGACTTTGCTGTCTTCAAAAGAGTGGTCTAAATCCTTCCATTCCCCACCATCCAGTCAGAGCTGAAGAAGCCTCTTGGATGAGAAGCGAAACGTCTTCAAAGGAAAACAAGAAAGTCCAGTTGCCTCCTGAAAAGTCATCTTTGGGAGGACACCAAATGTTACAGCAGGTAGCTACTCTCCTTTTAGGATGTTCTTACAGAGAACGGGCCATTCAGGCAGCAGAATTAGGCAGACACCATCAGTGACTGAGCTTCAGTGTTTCAAAACACATGGCCCAGTAATTTAATTTAGCAAAACTGGCCTTAAGACTCGCACACAGGGCGCCCAAATCAATCAGGCTGCCTGTGCAGGTACTCCTCAACCTATGACTGTAAGGAGCCTGTCCACGAGGTCACCCACGGGATTGACCCAATTTTACAGTCTTCGTTAAACGAAAGCAGCAGTCGTGAACCATTGTTTACTATGGGGCATTTTTGCCCAAAATCGGAAGTAAAAACGCTGGGGTGGTTTGTTTTGGGGGGGGGGGGCAAAAATGTCCTCAATTGCAATCATGGGACTGCCGAGCACTATAAATGGCCTAGCGCACCAAAGGCAATCACCTCACCGTGATAGCAATGATCAGAACTTTGGAATTAGGTTGCAAGTACCTTTTCGCAGTGGTGTTGGGGGAAAGCGCATTGTAAGTTTGAATGGTGATGAATGGCATGGCCACAATTCGAGGACTACTTGTATTTTGACTCAGGGAGGAAACCTGTACAAATTTACAACTCCGTTTCAAGGAACCAAATGCCTTGGGTGGCCTTACATATGAAGAGCCCTGGGGGTGCAGGGGTTAGAATGCAGCCTTGCAGGCTGACCCTGCCCACAGCCCGGAGTTTCGATCCTGACAGGGCTCAAATTTGACTCAGCCTTCCATCCTCTTCCGAGGTCGGTAAAAAACACGGATCCAGGTTGTTGGGGGCAAATATGCCGACTCTGTAAACTGTTCAGAGAGTGCTTTACAGCAGGGGTCCTCAAGCTTGGCCACTTTAAGACTTTAAGCCAGCTTTGCTGGCTGAGGAATTTCTGGGAGTTGAAGTCCACAAGTCTTAAAGTGGCCAAGCTTGAGGACCCCTGCTGTAAAGCACTAGCAAGTGGTGTATAAGTTTAAGTGCTACCAGCCATGAGATCCAGTTAGGAGCTGATTAGTAGCTGAGGATGGCTCTCCCAGCTCTTCCTTTGAGCCAGGTCAGGAGGCCCGCAGCTAGGCGCAGTTCCTATCTGCAAAGCCGGGCGGCTTTGGAAAGCCCCTCTTTCTTTTTACACAGGTTATCGTTGGGTTTGAACCCTCTGAAGCTCCTGCCGTACCCAAGACATTCTGGCTGATTTTGGAGGTGATGTTGAATCGCTGCTCGTCAGTGAAGTGCTCCAGTAGGAACTTGTAGATCTGCACCCGGGGCTCTTTGTTGGCTCTGCCCTTCAAGGAAAAGAGGGTCTTCTCCCTGTTGCGAGAGAACAAAATCCAGGCGGGAAGTGGAGTGGACAAACCCACGCAACACAGCCACTCCCTGCATTTGCTCGTGGTCAGAAAGAGGCCCCTGAGGTTTGTGAAGGTGGAGGCGTGGGAGAAATGCGCCTGGCAGCTTGACACCTGCACCCGAGGCTCAATGACTCCCAAGCAGCCACCCCTAGTAATTGCTCAAAGGACAGCAGGAGAAAATAATGAAATGCATGGGAGGGAAGCATATTCAGTTGTCTGCTTAAATCTCAGTTCAGTTCAGCTGAAGGTTTCATCCTGGCCCCACCAGTCCTTAGAGTGTGGCCTGAGGCTCGCCATTCCAAGCTAAAAAACGACTGGGAATCCCTGAGCTACCTCAAAAGTCCTCTTCTCTAGAAACAGGATATGTCTCCTTCCCAGTCTTCTCATCTGTCTCCAGGTCTTATCTTCCCTTGGATGGTCCACACTGATTTCCCTCTGCTCTTCCCAGCAACTAAGTGGGCTTCAAGCCAGGTTGGCATAGGTGATTAAGACACCAGGTTAGAAAATGGGAGACGGTGAGTTCTAGTCCTGCCTTAGCTATGAAAGCTGGTTGGCTGACTTTGGGCCAATCACCAAGAGACTGTGAATTCTAATCCTGCCTTAGGCATGAAAGCTAGTTGGCTGACTTTGGGCCAATCACCAGGAGACTGTGAGTTCTAGTCCTGCCTTAGCTATGAAAGCTGGTTGGCTAACTTTGGGCCAATCACCAAGAGACTGTGAGTTCTAGTCCCGCCTTAGCTATGAAAGCTGGTTGGCTGAATTTGGGCCAATTAGCAGGAGACTGTGAGTTCTAGTCCTGCCTTAGCTTTGAAAGCTGGTTGGCTGAATTTGGGCCAATTAGCAGGAGACTGTGAGTTCTAGTCCTGCCTTAGGAATGAAAGCTGGTTGGCTGACCTTGGGCCAATCACCAGGAGACTGGGAATTGTAGTCCCGCCTTAGCTGTGAAAGCTGGTTGACTGACTTTGGGCCAATCACCAGGAGACTGAGAGTTCTAGTCCTGCCTTAGCTATGAAAGCTGGTTGGCTGACTTTGGGCCATTCCGTAGGAGACTGTGAGTTCTAATTCTGCCACAGCCATGAAAGTTGACTGGGTGACTTTGGGCCAGTCTCTCTGCCTCTGCCCAACCCACTTGACAGGGTTGTCGTTGTGGGGAAAACAGGGAGAGAAAAGCTGCGTTCATCACCTCGAGTTACTTGTAAAACAAACAAAGCCAGCACACAAATGAACCATATCCACGGACCTTTCGCTCTGGGGGAATTTGTTGTACTTCTCATGCCTCTCGTAGCCGTTGAAATGGAAGATGCACTCGATGAAGTGCTGAGAAAACATGGCCGGATTCCTCTTGAGCAGGAGATGCACCAAGCAGAACTTGACAAAGCTGGGGAAGGGGGCCAAGAAAACAACAGCACCGAAGGAAGCTTAAAGTGTCACATATGGAGAACCATACCGCCTATTTTGGTGCCCTTCCCTTTTCCCAGAACTCTTTAGCAAAGCTTTCAGGGCTCATCCTACAATTTTCCTTCTAATTATAATCCAACATAATTAAAGGGAGAAATAACTCTATAGAACAGTAAACACCGTCCGTAATTACAAGGTTTGAGATAATTAACTAGTCACTCACAATAACTAAATCTTATTAAGAACAAGTCTACTTGCCTTGAGTCTAAACTCAGAAGCTCACTATTTAGGATTGGGTTTTTTTTATTTTAAAAAAATGAATATTTCCCCTGTTCCCAGCTCAATATGTGCAGCTTTATTGAAAAATATTCCCATTTGCAATTGGCTAGTTTTTACATAAAACACAGCTAGTTCCTCAGAGGAGACGTCCGTTGCTACATAACCTAATTACATAAACAAGACTTCCAAAGTGATGAGGGTGAATTTCCAAGAGGAAACACAAAACAAAGTAGGAAAGTTGGAAAATTAAAACCCACTGGCCGAAATGTTAACACAGGTAGTCCTTGACTTATGACCACAATTGAGCCCCAAATTTCTGCCGCTAAGCAAAACGCTTGGGAACTCACTCTTGCCCCCATTTTACGACCTTTCTTGTTACAACCTAAAGCAGTGGTTCTCAACCTTTTTAATGCCGCGACCCCCAACCGGTCGTAAGTCGAGGACTACTCAACTGGTACAGCACCGTTTGCAGAAGGGGACTTTTGGCGGGCTCAGCAGGGCAGAGACAGCCTGGACAATTCCTATTGGCTTTTGAAAGCCAATAGCATTAGACTCTATTCAAGAGAGTCTATTCTATTGGCTTTCAAAAGCCAATAGAATAAAAGGGAGTAGCACAGCTAAGGAAAAGGGGGGAAAAAATGGCGGACTGCGTTGCTTGGCAACCCCCGTGAAATGGTCGTTCGACCCCAAATGGGGTCCCGACCCACAGGTTGAGAACCACTGACCTAAAGTGATTCGCTGCAATTTGTTAAGTTAGCAACCCGGTTGTTAAGTGAACCCGGTTCCCCCTTTGCTTGTCAGGCGGTTGCAAAAAGGGATCACATGACTCCGGGACGACTCACAACTGTCACAGATACAGAGTCAGTTGCCAAGCGTCTGAATTTTGATCACGTGACGATGTGATCAGAGCGGAAAACCTGTTGGAAGTTACTGTAACTTTGAACGGTCACTAAATGAAAAGTTGTAAGTCAGGGACTGCTTGTCTCTAATTAAATCTGTGTGTCAGAATCCAGTTATATTTCATTTCTAGTTATCGACTATGGAAAACCCCATTCCTGCCCTCTCTGGATTCTGTCATACTACGAAGGGGAAGGGGGATGAGCAAAGGGGTTTTATGGCTCTCACTTCCTTCGTTAAAACTTCAAAGGGACTGAATGCGGATTCCCACCAAGAGGACTGACCATAACAATATGGCCATCACCTTTCATCTACTACTCTCTGAAGTCTCCTTTTGGCTGGCAGTAAGGGAAAAGGGGGGGGGGGGACAATGCAGCGCCTGGAGTCTGGGAAAAGAGAGGAGGAGGATCGTCTCCCGGAAGAACTGTGGAGTGGGGGGGCTGCTTGAAAACACTTAAAACATTGAAGGGTGGGAGAGAATTCCTCAGATCCTGCCTACCATCATTTTATCTTAATAAATATGCCTGTTGGAAAAGATATTCCAAGAGTTCTGTATTCGTAAGATGTAAAGTGAGGTGGGTCCTTACACTGTGGAATATACCAACCCTAGATATCTCAACCGTGATTAACCTGGTGGGGAATTAGAGCATTAGGCCAAAGCTATTAGCCAAGGTCACCATACATTCAGAGCCAGTAGGAGGGAATATTTGTAGCTCCTGAATGTAAATGATATGCAAATCAAACCAATCAATAGCAAGCAAGCCTTGAAATCAGTCTGAGAAACGAAGATACGCAAGTTCTACCATCCTTGACTTTCATCTGACCAGGATGGGATAGGAAATGCCAGCCGGACACGTCCTTAAGGAAATAAACAGCGCTCTGCATTTCCACTGAGGATTCCTTTAAAAAAACGTGGCAAATTGCCACGGTGGAAAATGCATTCTTCTCCTCTCTCTCTCTCTACACATAATCCTGCACAGACTCCGGAACCATTGTGTTTAGCTGTACTTTTATATGCAAGTTTACACAAAAGCCCTACCAGTAGTTGCCTAGTGTTTGTTTACAGAACAATCCTAAGCATAAATAAAGCAGCAGGTATCAACGCCTCCTGCTTTTTAAGCAAACACCCCACCTCTAAACTAGATTTCAGCCAAGCAAAGACTAACAAACAGATATAATGCTATACTTCCCCCTGCTGGAAAGATATGGGACGATATTGTCCTAAATTCAGGCATTGTGGAGAAAGCAAAAGTTAGTTGGCTCCCTATGTGGCCATTGTTTTTAAAAATTGTTTGCTTCTTAAAAGCTGTTCCCGGTCTCCCTAATCACTCTAGAGGAGAGGCCTTAAGAATTCATGTTGGAGAGGAGAGGAGGAAGGAAGGATTATGCTTGTTTATGACTGTAATAGATATTTGACTTGATTTAATAAGAGAATCTCTGCTTTCTCTAGCACCTTAATGCATGCAAGACTTAAGAGAGTTCAAGAAAGAAAGAAAAAAGGAAAAATGAAGACCTATATTGTCTTGCTACTGCTATTTTGAAACCTTACCTGGCAATTTCTGGATTGGGATCCACCAAAACGCTGACAAATCTGAAGAAGAGACACCCTTTCCACTTCACAAATTCTTCCTAATCAAACCAAAACAGCACAACAATTAGCCCTCCGGATAGCAAACATGGATACCGTCTCCCTAAAAATATACATTTGCTCAAAGCTGCGAACCTTTCCCCCCTTTTCTGCAGTTCTTTTTAGTTTTTCAAGGATGGAATCTTTAAATTAACTGGACAACGATCGTCCTGAGTCCATGCCAGGAAAGGTGAATTCCACATTTTTGTTCCTAATGAAAATGTTTGCACCCTACACTACATTTCCCTAAAAGCTGAGCACACCCGGCCTAGACGACGAAGAAGCCAAATTCCTTCCCAACAGGCCTTCAGCTTTCCTCACCTGCAAGAGATTCGTAAGAAGGATGAGCGTCTGCTTCCGTATGAACGGCTCCGGATCCTTCAGGCATATGGCGATGTCAGGAATATATCTGTCCACCATGGTGGTGTAGCGGACGCACAGATCGCACATCACAATCACCACATTGTTGCGGATGGCCACGTCCTTGGACACCTCGAGCTCACGAGCCAAGGCCGCAATGCACTTCTTTGCCAGGTCCTCGTGCTGCAGGCAAAGCTTCCCTGTCATAAAGGAAACAGCACAAGAAGAAGGTTGAGATTCTTTCTGATCTGGGAACGGCAGGGAAAGAAAAGCAGACAGGAGAAAAAAACAAAAACAAAACAGAAACGGGTTACTGGAAACAGAGAACCTCGGAACAAGATTCTAGGCAGAACAAGAACTCCCAATCTCTTGGGTGTTTGGCCCCAAGTCACCCAGCTGGCTTTTATGCCTAAGGAGGGACTAGAATTCCCAGTCTCCTGGTGATTGGCCCAAAGTCACCTAGCAAGTTTTTGGGCCTAAGGTGGCATAGGAACGCACAGGAGACTATTACTTCATATTTTGGGAGGGATAAGAAATCATTAGTTCAACTAAATTTGCGAGAAGGGAAGGGAAGGGAAGGGAAGGGAAGGGAAGGGAAGGGAAGGGAAGAGAAGAGAAGAGAAGAGAAGAAAGGGAAGGGAAGGGAAGGGAAGGGAAGAGAAGAGAAGAGAAGAGAAGAGAAGAGAAGAGAAGAGAAGAGAAGAGAAGAGAAGAGAAGAGAAGAGAAGAGAAGAGAAGAGAAGAGAAGAGAAAAAACACACACCAAATCCGGAATGTCTATTGCTATTTTCTTGCTGTCTACTGTCTTCATTTCATCATGGACTCAGATGAAATAAAAACACAGAGGATACAATTTTGAAATATGCAAACATGCTATGTCAAGGGATATTAGGGAAAAGAAAGGAGGCCACATGGGAAGATTTCTCCCCTCTCCCCCCCCAAAAAAAACCCCTGCCTAGGTGTCCTACCCAGAGTAATGAAAGCATGGGCTCTGACAGTGGAAGGCATCATGGACCCTCGGAATTGGGACAACGGTTGAGAAGCTGGGAGATCCTCATTCTCCGCAGGGCTGGACACTAGAAAACAACACACACCAATAGGAAAGGGTCGGAGACAGTTCCCTCTGCAAGGTGGTCAGCCGAAGGGAGGAGGCACAGCTTACACTCTTCCATGTTGTCAGGACTGGCCAAGATGGATTGGATCAGCAAGAAGATGCGTTGGTCCACTTTGGCTGGACACAGCTGTGCAATCTCACCCAAGGTGAAGAGGTGCCTCACCTGCCAAACGAAACAGTGCCATAAACTGGAAAGAGAATCTTAAATTGGTATTAAAATACTATCTGGTGGAAGTCTAGCTAATGGAGAGAAGGGTATGCCTTGACAAGTCTTTCTTTAAGGCCTCAATAGTAGTCACTGAGAGAGGCATCTCGGAGTCCTAGCGGACAATCCCTTAAACATGAGCCAGCCGTGTGCTGCAGCTACCCCTAAAGCAAATACAATCCTTGGTTGTATAAACAGAGGGATAGAATCAAGATTACGTAAAGTGTTAGTACCACTTTACAAGGCCTTGGTTAAGGCCACACTTGGAATAATGCATCCAGTTTTGGTCACCACGAAGTAAAAAAAGATGTTGAGACTCTGTGACCCCCCAACCGATCGTAGGTCGAGGACTACTCAAACGGTTGTAAGTCGAGGACTACTCAACTGGTGCAGCACCGTTTGCAGAATGGGACTTTTGGCAGGCTCAGCAGGGCAGAGACAGCCTGGGCAATTCCTATTGGCTTTTGAAAGCCAAGAGAATTAGACTCTATTCAAGAGAGTCTATTCTACTGGCTTTCAAAAGCCAATAGAATAAAAGGGAGTAGCACAGCTAAGGAAAAGGGGAAAAAAAATGGCGGACTGCGTTGTTTGGCGACCCCCGTGAAATGGTCGTTCGACCCCAAATGGGGTCCCGACCCACAGGTTGAGAACCACTGGTCCAGAAAGAGTGCAGAGAAGAGCCTCCGGTGGGCTGGCTGAACCCCAAAAAATTGATATTCAGAGTTTAACCGCTGATGCTCAGAACCCCTCTGGTTTTATGTACCAAGACATCCTCTTGCAGCTGCTCCGTGCCAAGCTCTTGGAGGACTGTTTTGGAGATATACTGCTCGCAGGTCACCAAAAGATCTCCGCATAGGTTGTTCAGCAGCTCCTGTTCAAACAGGACATGGGTGGAATTTGATTAAATATTTGCCGAGTTTAACACAGCCACCTTCCCCGGGATCACGCTCCTTTGTGGCTAGGAGGATGCTGTGCCTATGACAAGTTAAGTTATCCAACCTGAGTCCGATGTGATCTATTTCAGCATACAGGCAGTTTACACCCTGATGATGTCAAGAGCTCTTGATGAAAGCTAGGTTTAGTAAATAAAAGTTTTAACATTTTTAACTTTTGTATAATTTTATTCTCTTGGTGTTCAACTATTTATTGATTTTAATATGAACATACCCAAGAGTCATATTTTTACTTGCATAGCTGATTATTATATATATATGTTTTCTGAGGTTTTCGCGGGTGTTTGTATGTAGGTCTTTGGTTGTTCGGGTTTTCTCCCACGTAAAATTGGAAGTGTCTTGGCGACGTTTCGACGAAGTCCCATTCGTCATCTTCAGGCTGGTGTTTTCAGCTTCATGCTTCGAGCAGCAATGTGTGGTCTTAGCTGTTTCTTCCTTTTAACTGCCAGTGGGGGTATGAACTGATTGGGTGTGAGCTTGGCTGTGTTCTGATTGGGTGGAGGTGTGTTCTGATTAGGTTCGTCGAAACGTCGCCAAGACACTTCCAATACCAGGAGAGTTTAAAGTTAAAATACTTTAATTAAAGTATTTTACTATATTAAAAGGTTGCCAAGCTTTCGTTGGGAAAACTCCCCAACATCTTCAGGGCTGAGAGACCGTTTCTAACAAGGTGGTTCAAACGGGTTCCGTAGACGTCTGCGCTTGGTTCCTAGACTGTGCCAGCATTCCCTGCTGAACAGCTGATAGGTGGGAGGGGGAATCGGAGTAAAGAAGAAATTCAGCCACAGCAAAGAGCCTCTAGGGAAGACCCGCTCCTCTCCCAAGATCAACATAAGCTGGAAAAGAATGAAATCCACAGGTTTTTTTTTTAAAGAAGACCCAGCAAGCCTCACCTGCATCTCCTTCGGGGCATCTGTGATGGCCTGGCTGAGCTTTTGCAGAGTTTCGATAGCTGAGCTGATCACCTCCAAAGGACATTGGAAATCCTGCAGCCAACATTTGAGATCATCTGCAAAAGAAAGCCCCAAACTCCCGGAGTAAATTAGTGCAGCAGGGCATAGACCACTGGTCTTCAAACCTGGCAACTTTAAGACTTGTGGACTTCAACTCCCAGAATTCCTCAGCCAGCCAGGGCAGGATGAAGAATTCTGGCAGTTGAAGTCCACAAGTCTTAAAGTTGCCAAGTTTGAAGACCCCTGGCATAGACAGTACTCCCCTCCGATCACAAAGAGGAACTTATAAGATAGACTGTTGCTTCCAGAAAAGTACCCTCCCAAATGACTGTTCAACGGGCCCTCACTCATTAGCCTGTTCTGGGTGCTGCTGGGCAGGTGTCTGGCAACACTTCCAATCACGCTGAGGATGTGCACCATGGTCTCCAGATTGGCTTCGGGCTGTCTGGAAAATGGAGAAGAATGAAGTGATGAAGGACCGCTGCTCACCCATGAATGAAAGCAACTAGATTCACAGGTTGCCTTGTGCTTCCTTTGACCTTGGGAGATAAACCAATGGCTGGGGTCAACATGCGAAGGCAGAGGTCCCCCAGCTTGGCAACTTGAAGACTTGTGGACTTCAACTCCCGGAATTCTTCAGCCCAGGCTGAGGAATTGTGGGAGCGGAAGTCCACAAGTCATAAAGACGTCAAGTTTGGAAGACCCCCCCCCTCCTGCGCTAGGCCAAAAGCAAAGGAAGCACAGATCGCCATATTTAACTCCAGCCATCTGCTCACTCCCACTTCCGTGCAAGATTTCACTCACCTGCTGATGCTGTCCCAGGCATCAATGATTTTGGAGAAGTCCAACTTGGGGGAGGAACCGGCCACCTTTGCCAACAACATCCAAGCAGCCGCAGCACGCTCCGTTTCGGTATGGGAGATGACGCCGTTAATGAACGAAGAGGAGAATTTGTTCTTCTGAGCCAAAATGTGGAAAGCTTTGCTTAAATAGCGGCTGAAAGAGAGAACAACCAATCTTAAAGGCCCTCTTTGATTCGGTAGATGGCAGGGTCACTGAATTTCACCATTGCCAGAAAGCCAAACTCCATTAGCTTGCTGTTCGTTTTGTCCAGAGAAACTGCAGCCTTTGTTAACTGAGAGGCATGAAAAGAGGTTGATTAATGAAGCTAGCTTATTTTAATAAATCCGAATGTAGGGTTTATGTAATTAATGTAAGTAGGAGCCCTGGTGGCAGAGTGGTTAGAATGTCTTCCATCCTTCCGAGGTTGGTAAAATGAAGATCCCGATTGTTGGGGGACAATAGGCTGACTCTATAAACTGTTTAAAGAGGGCTGTAAAGCACTGTGAAGTGGTATATAATCTAAGCGTGACTGCTATCCATCCTTCCTTCCTTTCCTTCCCAGTGGTTAGAATGCAGCATTGCAAGCTAACTCTGCCGACTGCCATCAGTTCGATCCTGACCGTCTCAAGGTTGACTCAGCCTTCCATCCTTCCGAGGTCGGTAAAATGAGGACCCAGATTGTTGGGGGCAACAAGCTGACTCTATAAACTGCTTAGAGCGGGATGTAAAGCACTGTGAAGCGATATATAAGTCTAAGTGCTAATAATGCATGTTATCCAAAGTTTAGGGTTCACAAACTACAGTAGCCTATGTTAATTTACAACAAAGACAGAAGCTGTTTTTAATCCCTCTGGGACAACATGCAAGGAACCACAAAAGGATCCTTTCCATACACACAGATTATCAGAGCCATTCCCTCTTCAAAGTAATATGCAACATTTATACAATCTGTTTATCAGATTAACCGAAAAAATCATAAAAGCAGATCTTAAAACCCGAGGCTCTGAAATTAATGTTGGCACGTCAGAAGTTTTCTACGTATTTTTAGTGACTAAAAAATATCTGGATTTAGTTCCTTCGTTTTGCTCATGTGTTACCCGTGACCCTTTAAACTTCAAAAATGTTATTTAAACTTCAAAAATGTTATTTACTCGGTGCCAAAACCTGTCTTCCTCCCATATACATCTCAACTTGTCTCAAAATAGGACAGAAGATACGAAATGATTCAGAAAGCTCCCAGGCAATGTAAAAATTCCAAGTGTCTCATCCACGGGCCAAAATTAGGATTTGCGATGGTATCATCCATTCTAACACAACATGTTCTATTTCAGAAACTGTTACAACGCTATTGACTAATAAACAGATGCTGTTTTTAATCAGCATATGTTCCTGTCATTCCAGAAGCTGCACCTCACCCCTTATGTTGCTTCCTGTAAAATCTGGGGGGGGGGGAAGAGACCATGGAATAAATGTTCGTAGTTGCAGGCAAGAAAACAAGCTGAGTGCAGTAATGATGAATATTCTAGGAAAGAAGAAGGGAAATTTCTAATTCGCATTCAGCCACCTTTGTTGATTAAAAAACAAGGGTCTGCTCCTGAGGACAAGCAAATGGCAACCTTGAAGACTTAGCTCTGCCCCTCTCCCAACTTTCAGCTTCTGATGCTGAAACTTTCTGCTTCTTTTTTTATCAAGGCGTAGTGTTATTTGCCTACACTTTTGTCATAAAAAAAAATACTGCAGGAATGAGGCACAGCAGAAACAGATTCACTCTTCCTCTCTCTGAAATCAAATCAGAGAAAGTGACAAAGACAACCTCAAAATAGTAAGGTACTTCAAACACCCCAAAAGTGAAGCCCAATTTTAGCGAGTTTTCTCACCCCCTTTTCCAACTGCAGAACTTACTTTGTGATGAGTACTTGGTTAAAGTAAGGAAGCTGCACAAGAGATTACTACGAGCTGACAATCTGACTTGGCAGCACCTGGCTTTTGACCCTGGAAGTCATGTTAATTGGATTAATTTGGACATTTCAGGTATACAGGCAGTCCTCAACGTATGACCACAACGGAGCCCGAAATTTCTGTCGTTAAGCGAGACCTTTGTTCAGTGAGCTTTGCCCCATTTTAGGACCTTCGTGGTCATCGTTGTTAAGTGAATCGCTGCGGCTGATTAGTTAGCAACCGGGTTGTTAAGTGAATCCGGCTTCCCCCGTTTGACGCTGCTTGTCAGAGGTTTGCAAAAGGGGATCACGTGACACACACACCCCCAGGACAGTGAAGCCATCATAAATATGAGTCAGTTGCCAATCGTCCGAATTTTGATCACGTGACGTGTGTGTGGGGGGGGCCGCAACGGTCATAAGTGTGGAAAACGGTCCTCAGTCACTTTTTCCAGTGCCGTTGTAACTTTGAATGATCACTAAGTGAATTGTTGTAAGTCAAGAACTACTTGTAAAGGTGGGATATAAATAGATAGATAGATAGATAGATAGATAGATAGATAGATAGATAGATAGATAGATAGATAGATAGATAGATAGATAGATTTCCATTTCTGCCAGGAGAGAAAGATAGATAGATAGATAGATAGATAGATAGATAGATAGATAGATAGATAGATAGATAGATAGATAGATAGATTTCCATTTCTGCCAGGAGAGAAAGAAAGAAAGAAAGAAAGAAAGAAAGAAAGAAAGAAAGAAAGAAAGAAAGAAAGAAAGAAAGAAAGAAAGAAAGAAAGATAGATAGGTAGATAGATAGATAGATAGATTTCCATTTCTGCCAGGAGAGATAGATAGATAGATAGATAGATAGATAGATAGATAGATAGATAGATAGATAGATAGATAGATAGATAGATAGATAGATTTCCATTTCTGCCAGGAGAGATAGATAGATAGATAGATAGATAGATAGATAGATAGATAGATAGATAGATAGATGAATAAATAAATAAATTTCCATTTCTGCCAGGAGAGATAGATAGATAGATAGATAGATAGATAGACAGATAGATAGATAGATAGATGATAGAAAATGATATAGCTAGATGATAGCTAGATATGATAGATGATATAGATAGATGATAAAGATAATAGATAATGATAGATACATTTTCATTTCTGCCAGGAAGTCCAATGGCCTCTTGAAAAAAGCACCCTTGGGGCCTGGGGCCTGAGATCAGAGGAGGGGGCTCTCGGGGCTGCCAGACCTAAGAGACCCTACCTCAGCTCTTGACTCTCTTTTGTGAGCAAGGTAAGCAGATCCCAGGCCAGCGCTTGGTTCTTGTCGTGATGAGTGAACTTCTGGCAGGGCTTAATTTGCTGCAGCAAGAGTTGATCCACGCACTCCAAGACCTTCTCCTGGACGGAGGTCTCACAGTCCATAACGACGGGGACGACTCCCGTGAGCCAGGCCTTCTGCATCAGAGGATTCTTCGGCTGGGACTGTAATAAGAAGGGACGCTGTTAGAAAGCTCAGCTGGCCGATCAGAGGCCCAGATGTCAAAGAGCAAGCAGACCCCACCTCTGCAAAGGACTTCTCGTCAGCCATGATGGCTCGACAAACCAGAAGCCTACAGAAAAAGCTACAGCCGGAAATGTATCTTCTTAGACCAGGGTTGAGTCATACATCTCTGGAAACAAGAACCCGAATAATGGAGTTGGGAGGACCTTGGAGGTCTTCTGGTCCCACCATCTTCTCAAGCAGGAGAACCTACAACATTTCAGACAAATGGCTGCCCAGTCTCTTCTTAAAAACCTCCAGCGTTGGAGCACCCCCAACTTCTGGAGGCAACGTGTCCCCCTGGTTAATTTTTCTCAGTGTCAGAAAGTTTCTCCATAGTTCAAGATTGGTTCTCTCCCTGCTCAGTTTCCATTCATTGCTTGTTGTCCTGCCTTCAGGTTATTAAAAGCAGAGGTCATCAATAGTATTGATCCATGGATCGATTCATTCCTTCAAGTTATATTTGACCGGGATGGTGTAAGGTCTCCTGCTTTGAGCAGAGGGTTGGACTAGACCAGGGCTTTTCAACCAGTGGTATGGGTACCACCTGTGGTACATTGGCACCTGGCAGGTGGTACACGACCATCCTAGAAAAGTGGTAGCAGGCGAGGGGAATGAACTGAACCGGTGGCAGCATCGCACAAGCCTGAGCGAGAGATGGCTGGAGCTGCAGGGCTGTCAGGGCTCAGCGGAAGCGCCAGGATCAGTGCTTCTTCGGGACTGTCAGGGCTCAGTGGAAGCGCCAGGATCAGTGCCAGGTTCCAGCTGGAAAGCAACACTGATCCTGATGCTTCTGCTGAGCCCAGAAGAAGCGCCAATCAGCTGGAATGTTGCAGCATCTCCAGGGTCTTGTGATTTAAATTAATATGCTTGGCAACTGATTCATATTTATGATGGTCACAGTGTCCCAGGGTCATGTGAAGTGACCAAACCTGCTGCAACCACCCAGCAAACGGGGGGGGGGGGGAATAAAAACCAAACATCCCCCACCCCACCCCCGCTGCTAATCCTCAACAGAAATGCTCACAACAATGAAAACCTTGGACAGGAGGAAGAGTGCCGCCGGGCGCTGTCTTGCTCGGCTGTGGCTTGGGGGGCACTTTTTTCAATGCCATTGTAACTTTGAACAGTCACTAAGCAAACTGTTGTAAGTCAAGGATTATCTTTACTTTATCACTTTCTTCCTTTTTTTTTTTTTTTTTGGTCATCAAGTTTTTGACACCTTGCTAGGCGACTGGTAGTACTCGGATGTTGCCATATCCTAAAAGTGGTACAATGGGTGAAAAGGTCGAAAAGCCCTGGACTAGAAGACCTTCAATGTCCTTCCAATCCTAATTCTACATTCTATGTGGCTGCCCACCTCACATCTCTGACCCTGGGTGGTGCACAACTTCAAAATAAAGTTTAAAACACACAAAAAAATAAATACGCACAGCAGCTGAAGAAACTTCAGAGGCCTTCATAGCAAGGAAAGGGGCTCCATCAAACACCCTGGGTCCCAAGCTCCACGGATTTGTATAATTTCCCAGGATTTGGGGGAAGGGAAAGCTGAGAAGGGGTCAAAAGGGACCACTTTACCAGTAAAAGCTCTGTAATACATTGCAACGCTAACTTCCTCACGGAGATAGCTGGATCACGACAACGGTCCTGGACAGTGGACAGGTCTTCCGAGGTACATGGGACCACAGTATGTTTCAAAATGCTGGTCAACACCTGGACATCAAACAACCGATGGGGAGAGGTGGAGATGGGAAAGAGATAAGCATGGTAGGTTCTTCCCAGCAGCACCCATTTTTCATAAAAACCCAAAAAAAGCTGATCTTGGACTTCAGCTCAGAGCAGGAGACACAAAAAGATCAAACTAGAGGAAGCTCTTTCAAATTGGGTCTCGTAGGAGATATACAGACTACAGGAAAACCGAGCTAGAGAAATTAAACCTCCCTATTTTCACTGACATCTTCGTCACCACCGCCATCATCTTGGGATTCCAAGCATGGCGGAACTCACGTTTGCAATTCTGCTTTATATGGATCTTTCCTTTTTACCTCCCCCCCAAGACTTTGCACAATGCATCAGTTTTAGAGACAAAAGAGACAAAAAGAAGAAGAAGAAGAAGAAGAGAGAAGCACTGCCAAAGATTGGCAATATAGTCCGCTGTAAAATTTGACAAAAGGGGAATAAAACTCTTGCTACCATGTTTCCCTGAAAATAAAACCCAACCGGAAAATAAGCCCTAGCGTGATTTTTCAGGATGCTCATAATATAAACCCCACCCCAAAAATAAGCCCGTTAAGATTGTCAACCAGATGGATGCATTTAGTACCGTATTTCCCTCAAAATAAGACCTAACTGGAAAATAAGCCCTAATGCAGTGATGGCGAACCTTTTAGAGACCGAGTGCCCAAACTGCAACCCAAAGCCACTTACTTATCGCCGGGTGCCAGGTGGGCATGGCTCATTGGGTGGGCGTGGCTGTGGTGGTCATGGCAGACTGGGTGGGTGTGATCACTTTGATGTTGCTCGTGGGGAGGGATGCCTGTGGGGGCCGGGCAGAGTTGGGGGAGATCCAGGGGGCTCTCTGGCAGGTGGGGCGGTGGGCAGGAGGCTCGTCCTGTGGGGAGAGGCGAGGCAGGGTGGGGGTTCCATTGTCACAGGGCAAGGTGAGGCAGGGGCCGGGACGGCTGCTGCCTGACACCATCGGCCCCCGCACACAGAGGCCAGCGAGCGCATGGGTGCTGGGATGCATCTGGCCACGTGGGACCTCGGCGAGTTAGTGGGCAACTGGTTGAAGAGGGACGGTTGCCATCTCCAGGGCGTGGCGCGTGTGCCCACAGAGAGGGCTCTGAGCGCCGCCTCGGGCACACGTGCCATAGGTTCGCCACCACTGCCCTAATGCATCTTTTGGAGCAAAAATTAATATAAGACCCGGTCTTATTTTCGGGGAAACACGGCAATATATAATTCCATAGCCATTATAAAGGCCACCTCTGTTTCTTGCCAATTGTCAAGTATAAGAAGATGGGGAGGGCTGCATCCAGACCATAAATAAACTACAGAAAACTACAATATTCAGGACAATCAGAATTTTGTGCCATTTTTTGCATGCGAGTGGGTGCTGATTCATTACCTCGCTCTCCAAATTCATTATACCCCTATAAATATTCTAACCATGGGAGGGTTTAAATGTTTAAAAGTGATTTATTGAAGCTTACACATTTCATTACATAGTAATAAATCTTTCAGCGGGAGAGAAAGTACTTGCCCAAGTCAAGGTTCTCCCCCCCCCCCACATCATTTTTCACTCACTGTCACTTTCAGGGACGGGAATTCTCAGTATCAATAGAGAACAATTGGGCTAATTTAGAGATATGGTCCACGAGGACTCTGGTTATGAATTATACACCTTTAGTTGCAAATTAAGGAGTAAAAAAAGAGGAGGCAGAGAAGAAAGATCACACTAATGAAGGAACATCTGCATTCTGCAGATATTCCAGATTTATTCTCTGGCAGGTGATGGAACAGCAGGCTTGAAACATTACCCATTAACTGTGCTCAACAGCAGGCAAAGTCAGAATACTGCAGGGGCAATAAAAAAAAGTGGAGCCACAGCCACTGAACTAAGATGTTTGCCTCCAATTGGTGGACCGAAGGAGCACAAATAGATATATGGCCATTAAAATCAATTTTGATACAGATGGCTGGTTTGAAAGAGGGGTCAAAGAGGCCATCTGTCAAAATTGAACAGAGGGGGGGGGGTTCCGACATCATCTATCTCCAGTCTACAACACAGTCCTTTCAGCAGTTCCAAGAAGACTCCACACCCATTTACACTACTCAGGTGACCCTGAGGACACAGATAAACCTGCAGGTAGCACTAATGACTCTCTAAAAGAAGACAAATGACCAGCGGTCTGCAAGGAATATAAATCCTATCATTCCTCACCATCCAGCCAAAGCTGAAGAAGCTTCTTGGATGAGAATCAAAACATCTTCAAAGAAAAACAAGGAAGTCCAACTGCCTCCTGGAAAAGCACCTTTGGGATAATAGTGACCTGGAGGGCTGAAAATCTCCATAGATGTGTACCCTCTTTTGCAGGTTTTTGTGTTCTGTTATACGATGTGACTTTTCAGGGAGCCCTGATTGGCCTGGACAGGAGCAGAAGAGGTGAGAAACCTACCTGGAGGGCTGATTTCCTCACGTTGGTTTTTTCATCTATCGCTCTCTGCCTCAGGATGGCCATGATTTCTTTTCCTATTGAGTAGGGGGAAAAAGTTGAGACTTCTCAAAGCTGCCACATGCTCAACTGAGCATCACAAACATTTAACATTTACAGAGACAGGGTGGGCGACTTCTACCTCTGGAACCCAATGTTTGAAGCTGCCTACAAAAAAAAAAAAAAATAGCTGCTTCTAGGTAAAGTTTTTTTTAAATTTAAATTTATTTTTTTTTTAAAAAAAAATAAATTGGAATCTGGCTCTATTCTTCAACATTCCCTCATCTTTTTCAGACCTTCGCTTCCTAAATTATTCCTCCTCTATTTCCTCAACCTTCTGACATTTTTGTTTCTTTTAAACCCAAATTAAAACAGCACAGACAATTATTTTCTCTCCCCTCCCTTCTCTCTCTCTCTCTCTCTCTTTCTCTCTCAAAGACAATAAAGGAAAAGGCAACTGATTTTTAAAACCCAGCATACCATCAAACTCGGTGGGGTCCCGTTCATGGGTCATTTCAATGGTTTTGAAAGTTGGGAAAGTCTTCAGCTGGTGGCTGGTACGACCTTAAAAGAAGTTATTTCAGAAAACTGAAAATCAAGGCCAGCAGATTTGTTACCCACAAGTGTTTTGCAGGGATTAACCAACTAGGGAAGATTCTCAAAAGATGTAGGCACAAATAACAAGCTGCAGCCTCAGAAACAAGACCGATGTTGCGTTATTCTGCTGCCAAGTGACAAACTATGACACATCTTCAAGGGATGAGAATTAAAGGTGGGAAACAGTTGGAGAAGACAACAAACACATGCGGGACCATTGATTACACCACCTACCACATTCTTTCAAATGATGCTATATTTACTCAAGGAGACTTGGGCGACTGATTAAATGAAACAGAAGAGTCTTAAAAGATGCTCCCAGAACGATTATAACCTCAGCCAAGTTCCTCCTTTTTTCAAAAAGATATTTTTAAGGATGCCCAATCCTAAAATGGATCTCTCTTGGAAGAACGTAAAACCCAGAGGGAAGTTTTCAGGGGAGAAAACAAATTGCTCAAAGCTGATTTTCGAGATCTCTTTCCACCAGGAAATATTTCTAGCAAGCTTCAACACTGAGCAAAGAATAGGACAGCAACCTGGCTGGTCTCTTAGCAAGCTACACTGCTTACCTTCCAGGTTGGTTAGGAATGTTTCAGCAGGAATGTTGGTATCCATGACTGAAGAACAAGCTGCTGCAGAGGGAGACCAATGAAAAGGACGAGTTATTTTGTTCCCCTATGGATTTCACACCAGAGCAGTGACAAACAGTGACAGGGAGTTGTACAGGTAGTCCTGGACTTAACCACCGTTCACAGTGACTTATGACTCTTTTCCAAACTACTGTACACTGCATGCGATCCAAATTCAGTTGCTTGGCAACTGGCAGGTATTTATGAGGGTTACAGTGTCCCCGCGGTCACGTGATCATCTTTTTGCAACCTTCTCATAACTGGCAAAGTCTGTGGGGAAGCCAGGTTCACTTAACAGCTGCAGTGATTCACTTAACAACTGAGGCAATAATACCTAGCCCAGGGGTGGGGAACCTTGGCTCTTTTATGACTTGTGGACTTCAACTCCCAAAATGTATTTATGAGACTTATATATTTATTTATGAGACTTATATACCGCTTTAAGTGCAAGCACTCTCTAAAGCGGTGTACCACCAGTAAGCAATGTATATATATATTTACATTGCCTCCAACAATCTGGGTCCTCATTTTACCTACCCCGGAAGGATGGAAGGCTGAGTCAACCTTGAGCCAGTGAGATTTGAACCGCTGACCTGCTGAACACAGTCAGCTAAAGTGGCCTGCAGTACTGCACTCTAACTGCTGCACCACCTCGGCTCTTCCATGCTCTTTCATGGGACTTCAACTCCCAGAATTCCATGCTGGCTCAGGAATTCTGGGAGTTGAAGTACCCAAGTCATGAAGGGGCCATAGTTCCCCCATGCTGGCTCAGGAATTCTGGGAGTTGAAGTACCCAAGTCATGAAGGGGACATAGTTCCCCCATGCTGGCTCAGGAATTCTGGGAGTTGAAGTACCCAAGTCATGAAGGGGCTATAGTTCCCCCATGCTGGCTCAGGAATTCTGGGAGTTGAAGTCGACAAGTCATGAAGGGACCATAGTTCCCCCATACTGGCTCAGGAATTCTGGGAGTTGAAGTCCGCAAGTCATAAAAGAGCCAAGGTTCCCCACCCCTGACCTATCCCAACATTTCAGTGGACCCAGTCCCTCCTCGTACTTACTGCCGTGCAACAGCTCTTGAAGGTCCTGCACATTTGATACAACTTTGTTTTCCAGACACTGAGCGAAGCTTGACAGGGCTTTGCTGCGAACGGTGGGCACTTTGTCCGAACACCGGCCAAAGATCATCACCTGGATCAGGAACTTGTGCTTCAGAAACACCTGCTGCTCTTCAGTCAAAACCACCTCCAGAACTCGTTCTGGATGTTCTAACAAAGCCAAGGCCACGTCGAGGGCAAATATTCTGTAGGAAATCTGTCACGGGAGAAAGTAAGAGATTTAGTTATTTATTTTTCACAGATTTTTTTTTTTTTTGAACCGCTCATCTTCCCGCGGAAGTTGCATAGTGCAGCGGTCCCCACCTTTTCCAGCCTGGCTGGGCTGGGGTGGGTGGAGAGGGAAACCGGGCTGTGCCAGCGGTGGGCCGGCACATGCAACACAATGTGTGAAAGCGGCGGGCTGGCACACACGTACATGTGCGCGTAGCTGGACTTGCTCAAGTTGAGCTGCTGTGCGTGCATAGGCATGTGTGCATATGCCCCACCGCTCGCGCACATCGAGCTGCACGTGCGCCAGCCCGCCACTCACGTGGGCCGGTTCCAAAGAGGTCACAACATGGGCGGGAGTGGGTTGTGCCCTGGTGGTCAGGGACCCCTGGCAGTTGAAGGATAAAATTCTATCAGCCGCAGAATCAACTTTGGGAACACGTTGACTGTCTTGGATGCCATTGGCAATGTTCAGAAGACCAACAGGTTGATTTCTTCACCTTGTTATTGCGCGAGTATCCGTACAGCCAAGCAATGAAGTTGGCATGCTCAGCACAAGGGAGTTTGTAAAGCAACTGTGACAATGACAATGCTGCGTAAGTCCGGTATTCGGATTTATCAGGAACCTGGAATGAAAAGGAATGAAGGGATTGATCAAATTGAGCTGAAGTTAGATGTTCTATCACAGTGACTTCAACGCAGAGCTGGTTACTGAATGTTGACGGCTGGCTCTCTGCTACAACTGATCCATGGAAGAGGATCCCGATGAGACGGCCACCTCAAATGAATCCCTGTTTTAATACTAATTAATACTATTAAATAGTATTAATACTAATCCCTGATTAGTACAGTGGAGAAAAGAATCATACAAATAGCAGAGTCAGAATGATGAAAGAGGTGACGGGATGGAGTTTTTAAAATCAAAAGACCTACTAATGGAATGTCAAATACCAGAGACCTGTTTGAGTTATTTTTTCCCCCTTTTGGAGAGTTTTCTTGCCTCACATATATTAAAGTGCAACTCTAAAATCAAGACCCAAATTCAGGATCCAAAGTCAGCCAGAAGCAAAACTTGGAAGATGTCCAAATAAAATTTTTGAATTTCTCAAACATGTACTCTAGCTCATTAGTTCTCAGTTGCCTACCGTTGTTAGGAAAATTCACATCCCCCCCCCAAAATGGACAGGTCTAGTCCTGTTCACAGAATGGCAAAGATCACACCTCACCTTGACACAAATATGCTGCAGCAAGATCCTCAGTACAGGGAAAGCAATTTCTTTCAGTTCTTCAGTGAGAGAGCTAGATAGGAGAGACACAAATAATTGGTTGACGGGGGCACGTGTGGCTCACTTCTCAGGCCAAACTTGGGAATTTGCAAGTTTTTTTTTGAGGCTGTGTATGTGCTTCTGAAGCCACATTAGAAACCTGCAGGTCCATCAAGGTTAGACAGGGATCACCTTTTCCAGACTGAGTCATGCTTGGCCTTTGAGCGACAAACAAGACAGGACCATGTGGTACAAAACCAACAGGGCCAGGATATTCTTCCCTGCAGGAATGAAACATATAATTGCAAAGCAACCGTAATTTTATGTTCAACCTCCTGGTTCCAGAAACTTAAAAGCCAAAATAAAGATACCCCATGTGCAAAAGTGGGAAGCCTGTTCACCCCACCGTGCTGATGACCTTGGCATTCAAAATTAACTGCCTGCACGGAAAAGATATTGAGATATTGAGCCGAGGTGGCGCAGCAGTTAGAGTGCAGTACTGCAGGCCACTTTAGCTGACTGTGTTCAGCAGGTCAGCGGTTCAAATCTCACCGGCTCAAGGTTGACTCAGCCTTCCATCCTTCCGGGGTAGGTAAAATGAGGACCCAGATTGTTGGGGGCAATGTAAATATATATACATTGCTTACTGGTGTACACCGCTTAGAGAGTGCTTGCACTTAAAGCGGTATATAAGTCTCATAAATAAATAAATAAATAAATATCCAAGGATATCGAGGTTGGGGGGGTTGGGGGGGTTGGCAACAATTCACAAAAAGTGGTTCTGCACCGGTGCAGTAGTACTTTACCTGATGAACTTGAGGGCCAGTTTCCTGGCATCGATGATCTGAGAAGGGATGGGGAGATAGACACGCCCACTTTCTTTCCCAGGCAGCATCAGGATGACTCTGAGAAGTTGATAGAACACTTGGCGCAAATTCTAGGGAAGGAAGGGAAGGGGGGAAAAAAATGGGAGTATGGACAGTTGGATAATCCCACTTATCTCGGTTAAATTAGCAGCTTTGCTACAACAGAGAACAAAGGTATCTTTTGTCCTTTAGTCACCTTCTGCCTTTAGACAGCTTTGGCCTGGATTATTGAGCCTTTATTGACAGACAGACAGACAGATAGAGGACAAAAACATGTTATCTGTTTTATTTAGCCTACCGTATTTTCCGGCGTATAAGACAACTCGGCGTATAAGACGACCCCCGACTTCAGAGACGATTTGCATGCTTTAGAAAGTCATCTTATACACCGGAAAATATGGTATTGGTATAACAGGTTGGTATAACAGGTTTCACTGGCAAGTTATACCTCTTTCATTTTTGAACCCCCCCCCCCCCAAAAAAAACCAGGGAGAAAAAAAAGAGAAAAACACTTTATTTCAAGCCCTGTTCTTGTACAATGTCCCCATCCTTAAACCAATGCACTCCCCGTTATAAAGCTAACTTTTATAAAGGAAACATTTTTCAAAAGGAAACTTCTATTTCAGCCCTTCTGCCTTGGAGAGGGGGGGAATTTGTGCGAGAAAGAATTTTTGGAAGATTCGTTTAAGTCCAAGATCACAAAAATGCTTCTGGAAAATTAGCACTGCTCTCCCCGTTTGTAAAACACCCACAAGCCAAGCATGTGTAACAGTATTAAAGCTCCATCTAGCAGGGAAACTAAAGAACTGTTGGTAGGACTTTTGGCTTGGCAAAAGATTGAAGAAATTGGCAAATATATATAGTAAGTGCTAACTTACTGTTAGGACGTCCTGGTTAAATAAATAAATATATTTATTTATTCTGAGGTTTTCACGGGTGTTTGTATGTAGGTCTTTGGTTATTCGGGTTTTCTCCCGCGTAAAATTGGAAGTGTCTTGGCAACGTTTTGACGAAGTCTCATTCATCATCTTCAGGCTGGTGTTTTCAGCTTCGTGCTTCGAGGAGCAATGTGGAGCTTTGTGCTTCGAGGAGCACATTGCTCCTCGAAGCACGAAGCTGAAAACACCAGCCTGAAGATGACAAATGGGACTTCGTCGAAACATCGCCAAGACACTTCCAATTTTACACGGGAGAAAACCCGAACAACCAAAGACCAACAACAACAGAAAACAGACATATATATATATATATATATATATATATATATATATATATATATACATATATACACACACACACACACACACACACACACACACACACACACACACACATATATATATATTCCACATACCTGCTTCCCTGATAACCCCAGATATCAGACTTGGGGAGAAAAATAGATGGGGGGGGGGAGAAAAACAGGATGTCCAATATGGAACTAACTCTCTTCAGATTTAATAGAGTTATCTCTACGGGTCGCCTTTCAGACAATAACTTGCTTTTAAATCAGCACCCAAATTCTCTGGTTTGATCTAGCGTGGGAAGGATTAGCCGGCAAAGAAGGTTGCCATTGACCAGGGTACCCCTGATTGTGGTTTGAAATTGTTCATCCACAATCTTCAGTGTACTTAAGGAATAACATTAAAAGACGAGATGGCTGGAGGATCCAACCTCTCTTATATTACTTGAAGGACCTTGGATGGGTTAAGAGTTGGGAGTGCCTAGATGTAAAATCAGTTATGCTCAAATGGAGGCTCTCAGTGGATAACAACACGTTGTGTCAACGTGAAGAGACGCAGAGCCCAGCCCATGTGCTGGTATGTCGGCTACTACCGACAATGACTTATTTTGGCCAATGATAAAGCCAAGAAAGTGGCTTCGTTCTGGCAATTTAAAGTCTAAGCTGGACACAGAAGAAGAAGAAGCACCCAGATCTCCTGTAAGAGACAGATGGATTTCCTTGGCCTTTTCCATAGAAAGGAGTTTTATAGGTCCATGCATTTAGAATTGAACAAAGAACAATATTAACCAACACAACCTTTACCTTGTCTCCTAGACTATGAAGGGGGGAACACAAGAGTCGTAGGCCAAAGTAGGCAAGCTCTGAGACATACTTGGCTCTGGAAATAGTCCTGTAGCCAAAGGAAAAGTTCTTGGTTGGATCTGTTTCGTGATACAGAGCAAATGTTTGCAGCTTAAGTCTATTATCTTCAGGGAAAGAACGTTCAGTTTTGCTCAAGTCCATGCCATCAATACCCATTTAGCTTCATAAATTCACAATATAATCTTGAGATTCCCGAGCAAAAACTCACGTCATGTCTAAAGGCTTGAAGTCTTGAGTACAGGGCTCCAGACTTGTCAAATTAACAAAGATCTGTGAGAAAATAAGTCAAAATACATTTTATTTATAACAGAATAGAATTTTATTCATTCATTCATTCAATTTCTATTGTCAAAGAGAAGAGGAAATTGTCACACTGACACTCCCTTGACAAATATTACAGGATGGTAAAACTGGGGAATTCTGGGTGTTGAAGTCCATACACCTTCCAGCTGCCAAGGTTGAAAAAACACTGATCTGATTACAGGTAAGCATTGACTTAGTCATTCATTTAGTGACTATCTAAAGCAGTGGTTCTCAACCTTTTTATTTTTAATGCCGCGACCCCCAACCGGTCATAAGTCGAGGACTACTCAACTGGTGCAGCACCATTTGCAGAATGGGACTTTTGGCGGGCTCAGCAGGGCAGAGACAGCCTGGACAATTCCTATTGGCTTTTGAAAGCCAATAAATTAGATTCTATTCAAGAGAGTCTATTCTATTGGCTTTCAAAAGCCAATAGAATAAAAGGGAGTAGCACAGCTAAGGAAAAGGGGGGGAAATGGCGGACTGCGTTGTTTGGCGACCCCGTGAAATGGTCATTCGACCCCAAATGGGGTCACGACCCACAGGTTGAGAACCACTGATCTAAAGTTAACAACGGCATGGGAAAAAAAGTATCTTACAATCAGTTCTGGGCCTCATGACCATGAGAACATGCCCACCGTCATGTGATCAAAATTCCCAAGCTTGGTAACTGGTGTGTATTTACGAGGGTTTCAGCCTGTTGGGATTGTGTGACTGCCATCTGTGTCCTTCCAAGCAAAGTTAATGAGTAAGCCAGATTCGCAGTGATTTCCTTAACAGTTTTGTTTCATGTGAACTTTAAAGCTGCCTCCTCCTGTTATGTATTCAAGATGGACAGTGATTAATATTTATGTTATTTATATGTAAGGGTATAGGTCTATATATATATATGTTGTATCTAGTATGTTTAAATGTGTGTTATGTATGTTTACACTTTGAGAGCAAGCAACTAAATTTCATTTTTAGTGTGTGCCGTTGTGCCCACAGTAAAAAATGACAATAAAGGTTATCTATCTATCTATCTATCTATCTATCTATCTATCTATCTATCTATCTATCTATCTATCTATGATAAGATAACCTTTATTGTCATTTTTTTACTAGGGGCCCAACAGCACACATCAAAAATGAAATTTAGTTGCCCACTCTCAAAGTGAAACACATACATGACACACACCTAAACATACAATATACGACATATGTATAGACCCACATCCCTACATATACATAACAAATAAATATACTGTCCATCTTAAATATATAGCGGAAGGAGGAAGCTTGAGAGTTCACATGGTTAATGCTGTATGGAATTAAACTATGGCTGAATCTGGATGTTCTGTTTCGGATACCACGAAGCCTATCATCCATCCATCCATCCACTATCTTTCTATCTATCTATCCATCCATCCATCCATCCATCCATCCATCCATCCATCCACTATCTTTCTATCTATCTGTCTGTCTGTCTGTCTGTCTGTCTATCTATCTATCCATCCAGCTATCTAGCTATAACCACTGTGGCAAAAGAGGTCATAAAATTGGGTGTCGCTTAACCTTCGCCTGGCTTAGCCCTGGAAAGTCTGAACCCCAGTTTGGTTGTTTAAGTCGAGGACCACCTGTGCTAGCACAGGAGGCATCCTGTCACTTTAGCCGAGAGATTGCGGTCACCTGAATGCAGGTCTGCACGCACTGTGGCCTCTCTTTCAGGGAAATCTTGGAAAAAAGCCTCAGGAGGTTTTTCAGCAGAAGGAAGAGGGCCTCGCGGATTGCCAGCAGCTCATGGGCTGAGAAGTAAACCTCTTCCTGGACGTCTTCCTCTTCAAAGATGTCGTCCATCTAGAACGGCAGGAAAAGGACCATGGATTGGTTAAGCAAGATTCAAAAAATCGTAGCTTCCTGGTATTGTCAGGCAGTAATTCTCATCAACAGGGGAGATAGGAATTGGCACTGAACCCCACCCTCGGAGTGTATGATGGAGGGGGAGGGTCCCTAAATTGATAAATAAAATAAACTTCTGGGAGCAGGCTCCCCAGGTAGTCTTCGACTTACAGCAGTTCACTTAGTGATCGTTCGATGTTACAACGGCATTGAAAAAAAGCGGCTTGTGCCCATTTTTCAAACCTAGGACCCTTGCAGCATCCCGGCGGTCACGTGATTTTGACATTCGGATGCTTGACAACCGACTCACATTCGTGAGGGTCGCAGCGTCCCCGGGAGGGGGGGTCACGTGATCCCCCTTTTGCGACTTTCCGACAAGCAAAGTCAACAGGGAAATTAGTTTCACTTCACAACCGGGTTACAAATTTAACCACTGCAGTGATTCGCTTTACCAATGGGGGAAGAGAAGTCGTAAAATGGGGCAAAAACTCACTTAATCAATTAGCCACATAAATGTTGGGCTCAGTTGTGGCCCTAAATTGAGGACTGCCTGTATCATTCATTATTTCGATGCAGCAAAGATAGGCAACCGAAGGCTTGTTAAGTCTAGAACAGGGGTCCCCCATCGCCAGTCTGCAGACCGGCACCAGCCCACGACCCATTAGGAACAGGGCTGGGCAAGCGAGCGAGCAAGGCGTCATCTGGGCATGTGCAGGATCTCGCTAGTGCGTGAAACCGTGTCTCCTAGGTATGTGAAAAAATATCTTTTCCCCGGAACCGGTCCCTGTTGCCCAAAATGTTGGGGACCGCTGCTCTAGAAGGTCTGGCCTTCAGCTGCTCTACTCAAGACTGGAATACACCAAAAGGACCAATCAAGCAAGCAGCAGGAAAACAGACAAAATGCTTTTGATAAAGTATATTAAATTTTATTATTATTATTGTGGATCATCGCACAGTCAGCCAGATGTTCAGACTGGATTTGGCATTTTGTCTACCTATCGAGTCCTTACCCAGGACCTGGGATAGGCAGATGTGGATGTTTGATGGTATTACAGATATTATTATTATTATTATTATTATTATTATTATTATTATTATTATTATTTACCGGAGCGTTTTCATTTCTTGCTGGCTTCCCTTTTTTTCTATCGCCCATCAAGCTTTTGCACTGTTTCTTTTTCCTTTTTCTGGGCAACTCCAACTCCTCAGGCCAACATTTCGACAGGGTTTGAAGACATTTCTCAAACATCACTGGATGCAACACCCGGTTGGCTATGCTGCCTGCCAGAAAAGACCTCTTGCATATTAAAGGAATGCTACTTTTATACCACACCACCTACAGCTAAAGAGGCACAAAAATAATTGATAAGGTATTATCACAGTGTTTTTCAACCTTGACAATTTTAAGGCATGTGGACTTCAACTCCCAGAATTCCACAGCCAGCAATGCTGGCTGTGGAATTCTGGGAGTTGAAGTCCACATGCCTTAAAATTGTCAAGGCTGAGAAACACTGTATTATCAGGTGTTTTGCAACCCTAAAACCCTCTTGCAGATGGCTCCCTAGGAACCTAGATGCCTCTATTTGTTTTCTTATCTTTCTATCTTCCCCTCCTTGCCCAAATCTCTTTCTTCCATACCTTTTATTTTCACAAATATTGTTTGATAAGTTAGGATGAAACAAGATGATTGGCTGTAGATAAATGAGAATTTGAGTACAACTTTTCCTCAGTGTGATGGTGTTACAACATTACTGTATTTTTGCTAGTCTCTCTGCCTTACAGGACTGACATTGTTTTTCACTTCTGATCCTAATGAATGGATGGCTTAAGGAAGCTTTGCAAAGTTCACACATTACTAGTCAAGATTTTGCTCCTTTAAAGACCGGCCCGCTTGCTCCAGATGTGTCTAAATCAGAGTTTCTCACCCCAGGAAGCGTTAAGACAGTGGTTCTCAACCTTTTTAATGCCGCGACCCCCAACCGGTTGTAAGTCGAGGACTACTCAACTGGTGCAGCAACGTTTGCAGAATGGGACTTTTGGCAGGCTCAGCAGGGCAGAGACAGCCTGGACAATTCCTATTGGCTTTTGAAAGCCAATAGAATTAGACTCTATTCAAGAGAGTCTATTCTATTGGCTTTCAAAAGCCAATAGAATAAAAGGGAGTAGCACAGCTAAGGAAAAGGGGGAAAAAATGGCGGACTGCATTGTTTGGCGACCCCCGTGAAATGGTCGTTCGACCCCAAATGGGGTCCCGACCCACAGGTTGAAAACCACTGCCTTAAGATGTGTGTGCTTCAATTGCCAGAATTCCCCAGCCAGCATGGGTTGAAGCCGACACAACTTCAAGTTGCTAAGATTGAGAAACACTGGTCGAAATCAGGTTTATGGGTCCTAAGAACAGACCAGAAGAGAGGGAGGAGATACTCCATTACTGTACAAGCGCCCTTGGATGGTTGATGGAAGTTCATTCCTAATACTCACAGACAGCAATTCTACTACCATCAAGGGAACTGAGTTACAAGGCTACTATGCTGAGATATCCATGCAAAACACGGGTCAAACCACGACACAAGCAGTTGACACACCTACCAGGAATTTCAACTAATAAAAAATACAATCCAGCTGCGTGGAGGGCAAACAGGCGTTGTTGTGTGTTGGCCTTTCTGTTCTGGGCCTCTTGGACAAAGTGATGCAACACAGCGACCATAGTGTTAGGGGAGAGGTTGTTTTCCACCAGAAGGGGCCAGATGCTCTGAAATAAAAGAACAAGCTGAGAGCAGGCTCACATGAAGTCATTTTGGGGTCAGGGTAGGGAGACCCACCTCAGTGATGAGTGATGAGAGGCCTCTTGTGTTTTAAGAGGAAAAGCACTGCTGGTTGAACTTCCCATCAGTGTTAAACCATCTGGTTTAACAAAAATCAGAGGCTGTTACACTTCTGAACTTGTACGTAGGTCTTCTGAGCCAACCATGTGACCTGGGAGTCTGGTTTACAGTATCTCCCATTCTTTTCTGAAACTTCACAGAGGTGATGGATGAGCTGTACCCCAAGGAGGTCCATGTGTCCTAATCTATTAATGGAACAGCTCCATCAAACTTTTTTTTAGATCAGCAGGATTTAAGAATGATGCCAAACCCCCGGATTTAAAGGAATCATTTATCTGTAGCCTCTTTCAGGCAAAAGCAAGTATCTTTTCTCCTAGATTGCCTTTTGATGGACAGTCTAAGACTCTGTAGGTCATATGTGGACTAAAGCATCAATGTTGTTTTTCATTTCATTTTTCATTTAAATTACTGCCAATTTAAGTATATTTCAGTGTAAGATTAGGGCATATTTGGATTAGAGCCAGTTTGCCTAGGGGTTAAGACACCAGGCTGGAAACCAAGACATTATGAATTTTAGTCCTGACTTAGGCATGAAAGCCATCTAAGTGACTTTGGGCCAGTCGTCAGGAGACTGTGAGTTCTAGTCTCAAATTAGATGTGAAAGCTGGCTGGGTGACTTTAGGCCAATCACCAGGAAACTGTGAGTTCTAGTCTTGCCTTAGGCATAAAAGCCATCTAGGTGACTTCGGGCCAATCACTAGGAGACTGTGAGTTTTAGTCCTGACTCAGGCATGAAAGCCTTCTAGATGACTTTGAACCAATCATCAAGAGACTAGGAGTTCTAGTCCCACCTTATGCATGAAAGGCAACTGGGTGACTTTGGGCCAATGAGCAGGAGACTGGGCATTCTAGCTCCGCCTTAGGCATGAAAGGCCGCTGGGTGATTTTGGGCCAATCAGCAGGAGACTGGGCATTCTAGCCCCGCCTTAGGCGTGAAAGGCAGCTGGGTGACTCTGGGTCAATCACCCTCTCAGCCCAACTCACTTTACAGGGTTGTTGCTGTTGGGAAAATAGAATGATGGGCTAAAAAAAATCTACAATCTAAAAGTACGTAAATGTGTTGGTTAAATATGTTCTCACTTTTCTACTGGCTAAGTAATTGGGATTTAAAAATCACAGACACTACAAAGCTGGCTAGCTGATGCTAAAAGAAGCAATGGTTCCTTACTTCCATGGTCTCATGGTCATCTACACTAAATGGAGAGAGCGCCTTGTAAAGCTGGACAAAAGCCTCCACGCCATCATCGGTTATCAAGCCCTCGGTCCTGGGATCCAAAGGTTCAGTCTCGGTGAAGTCCAGTTCCCATACAGTGTCAACCCAGGCTGAAAAGAGAAAATATGTAAATACTTAAAATAGATCAAGGATATAGGCTTCCCTCAGTAATAAAATGAAAAGACTTTCACGTATTTATGGGTTTAATTGTAAGCCTCCCAGAGTTGCTTTCTAGAGTGAGATGGACAGCCAATACAAATAAAATGCAAACTAATGAAATACTCACTCTTCCCTTCCTTTTTCTGAATCCAAGATACAACCCTACAACTGAGCCTTTGTTTCCCCCAACATATTTGGCCCGTGATGTCTAGAGAGGATTTAATTGTTTATCTTTTCTTTTTTCTTTTACTGTTTGCATTTTGCTTTAGTAGCTATGATATAATTTGCTTTGTGATAATTAGAAGAGAGATATATAAGTTTTAAAAACAATATACAGTAACTCTTGTTTTTAAAAACAAAACAAAGCAAAGCAAAAAAAACGAAACAAAACCCCTCTCCTCTAAGTGAGATTAAATTTGTGACTCACTAGCAATTCAGGGGGAAAAAATTACCACCCTTCTCTATGTCATTATCTTTTTAAACGCCTATGGAATTGCTAGGAGAAAAAAGCCTGAAGCATAAATTAGAATGTCTTATTAAAACTAATGATGGTATATCCGCTTTTGCAATTCCAGAGTAAATATTGAAACAGGTTTCCAGTTATAAATTGCCATCACCAAGAAAAATAGTCGTCCCCTTTTAAGATACAATTCAATCAGCCAAGTAGAATATTCCAAGCATGAAGCAACACAAGGCAATTGTAACTTAGCTTTCTCCATCATTTTAAGGTGTGGATGAGTCATGAGGATTTAAAAGAGTGCCAAATAGAATTTAAATTTGCCAAATATATCATTCTTTTAGTAAAAAATACTTGGTAATTTCAGAGAACTTCATAATTCACGCTTCGTTCAATAAGACTAATTTTTGGAGATATATACAGTATATTACATTATGACTCTCTCATTTTATCTCCTTGGCTTTATTTGTTTTAGATGATCAAATGTGAGCTGAGAGTTTGATCAATTTCGGACTCTGGAATTAGAAAAAACAGAAGCACAGTTCTTTTCATTACTGTTTGACAATCAGACATTTAAAAACACAAGACTCTTAAAAGCTTGTGTAACCTTGTGAGGGGTGTGCTTATCCTCAATAATGAAGTAGATTTTATAGGAAGTTATAAGATTTACCAAGACACTGAGAAATTTAAGGAAAGATAATCAGTAAATCAATTTCATTGTAATTAACCTTGACTTTCTTTTTGGATAATTTCCAAGAATTGTGTACATATCAGAAACTACTTTTTGTTTTTAACTATTTTTTATGGAGTGTTGTGAGCTGCCTAGAATCATCTATGAGATAAGCATCCATATAAGTTTAATCAATCAATCAATCAATCAATCAGTTAACAGCTAAGTCTAGTGTAACATGAATCCTCTATTTTTTGTATTTATTGAAAAACACCTTGAATCCTAAGAAACAGGCTACATATGTATAGTATATGTATACACACACACACACACACACACACACACATTCATGTTTGAGGAAAACACAGTTGTGCAGATCATCTGTGTACATGGAAGGATGTGTGTAATATGTGAACGTACATACACAAACATATCTATAGATGCATATACTGTACATACACATGCTGTACATATACACATATATTATAAAGAAAGAAATATCTTTCCATTTTACTTGGATACTCTTTATTTATTTGCCACAATCTCTATGGACTCCTAGCAGCTTACAACTGTAAAAACAGGAGGAAAACCCTCACACAATATACAACATAACAAAGACCTTCCATTAGCATGAAATTGTTTAACTCCTTCATGTCTTGACAATGAGCACACATCTTCTAGTTGCCACGGCTATTTATTTTATTTATCAAATTTATTTGCCGCCCATCTTGAGGTAGAAGGCGACTTTGAGCAGCTTACAAACAAGATAAAATACACACTTGACAATTCTAAAGAAAAAAAACAATTAAAATTACATTTTAAAAAAACTAAAAAAAAAACAAGGATTCAGAGGGGAGATGTGGGGTGCCTTCTCTTATTAGTGCATCAACCACCTCCAGCCAACAGCTTCTCCTTCAGAGCCCCATGCCAGATGCCATAGTCAGGTACTAAGACCTTTCCTGGAGGCTAAAAGAGAGGGAAGGGCAGCGGATTTCACACCCAGATTGTTGGGAGCAATAGGGTTACTCTATAAACTGCTTAGAGAGGGCTGTAAAGCATGTGAAGTGGTATATAAGTCTAAGTGCTATTCCTATCTCACCTCCTGCGCCACCATGTATCAAAGGGCAGGAATCTTGGCAGAAAAGGCTCTTCTCCTGGATCCCACCAGCCAAAATTCCTTGGCCGATGGGATCTGCCGTAGTCCCTTTCTCTAGCATGAGTAGGGTGGGCAATCCCACTGGGGAAAGACTGGTTGAGAAACCCTGCTCTAGAGAAAGGCCATCACAACTCAGGTAAGATGTCACCAAGTATAAGGCCATTTCTGTGACCACAAAGATCAGCACTGTCATCCCAGGGTAAGGTGCCACTGTGAAAGCTGGACATTAGAAAAGAGAGAAAGGAAGAAATGCCTTCAAAGGAGAGATTTGGAAATAAGGATAAAGAGCACCAGACCTCCAGAAGAACTAATCAGCCAGTTCTAGATGATATCAAGACTGAAAGACTTCCTTACCTTCAAAAAGCAGAAATTCACATATTTGGAGTAAATGATGCCAGTGGATTAGAAAACAAGAATTATGCTTAGCAAAGCGTGTGCGTGTGTGTTAATAAAAGGAAGGTGACAGATGAATGAGATCTACTGGATTCATTCAGAAGAGGCATACTTTCAGCAAACTGCAAAGAACCCTAACCTTATTGCATCACCAAGTTCATTTGCAAGTTCAAGGGAAGAAAAAAGAATGATAAATGAAAAAAAGTGGAGGGACGCATTCGGATTCTTATCATCCACTCTTACAGAATCTATAAATTCTAATAGCCTACAAGTTACTACTTGGATCAGCTTGAAAGGGCAAGTATTTGAACCCTTGACAATAAACCCAACTCAAAGCCAATTAGATAGATGATAGAATAACAAGAGTTGGAAGGGACCTTGTAGGTCATCGAGTCCAACCCCTAGTCTACTCCAATTTGTGTACTATATTACAACCCTTCAAGTACTTTTTTTTTGGGGGGGTCCTGTTTATGCAGATGTATGTAACAAAATTCCATTTTACTGTATGCTGATCAGTGTACATTTAAAGTGACAATAAAGTTATTATTCTATTCGATTATTCCATTCTAAGTCGATCTTGAATACCGCCAACTTCACGGCCAGGCACGATTGTTGTTGTTGTTTCGACAGACGTGTATGGAAGAGCTTGGCCGCCCCTTTCCCCCTTCTCAAATCTAAGCCCCGCTCCCAGAATTGATCCCCTTGTAGTCTCCCATCCGAGGGCTAAGAATCTGATTACAGATTCTGACCCTTTGATCTCCTGGTGGTCCCCCATCCAAGGAAAAAAGCAAAATCCGAGCCTCCCAGCCCCGCCCGATCATTGGAATTGGCTTTTCCCACGCCCCCCACCACCAGAAGCTCGGATTGGACCCCCACCCACCCACGCCTCACCTCGCTCGACGTCCCGGAGCCCCCATCGATCCACCGCATCCTCCAAGCGCTCCCTCGCCGCCATCGCGCCTTGCTCCATCCCCGCCGCGGCCTTCGAACCGGCCAATCGCCGCGCTCGCCGCCCGTCAGCCAATCCCCGCCGGCCGGGGGACGCCGGGACGTCGCGCCTGCGCACGAGGGGAAGAGGGTAGAAGGGGCGTTCCCGGGCAGGCGAGGCCCGAGGGGACGGCCGCATGCGCCGTGCGAGGGGCGCTCCGCGAGGAGCCGCCTCTCGCTTTTCCTCTTCCTCCCCTCCTCCCCCCGCCGGGCTGGAGCAGGGCGGCGCATGCGCGGTGCCCGATTCCTCGGTCCGGGACGCGGCGCGAGCTCGGCCAGCCTTGCAGCCGGCGCAGCCCAGACGGAGGAAGCGGGCGGCTGCCGCAGCGGCGGGCGGGCGGGCTGGCTGCTGTCATCGCTCGGAAGGAAGCCGGCCCGGGTGCTGGGAAGAGGCGCCGCGTTGCATTTGACCCCCCGCTGCTTGCGGCCTTCCTGCAAGGAGCAACGCCCCCGTGCAATCCCCCCCCCTTCCCCGCCGTGCAAAGCATCTTCTTCCAGCAGCATCTTTGCAAGGCGACTGAAGAGCGAGCGGGCCGGGATCCTGCTTCCTTCCAAGCTGCTTCTCCGTTTTGCATGCCTCCGTGCAGGCTTCCCCCGGGCGCCCCGGCTTGCAGCGCTGCACCACCTTCTCCTGCAAGCGGCGCCCTCTCCCCCCCTTTGCCCGCCCGCCCTCCCTCCCGGCCTTGGCCACCGGGGCCCCCAGCGTAGCTGCCGCTCCGTTGCAGCTGCTGGCATCGCGGCTCGGGCTCCCCTTCTCCTCCGGGAGGCTCCCTCCCTTGGCGCCGGCAAGTCCCCCCCCCCCCTCTCGCCTTGAGCCTTTCCCGGCCGTAAAAAGCTCCCTGTCCCCGGCAGCCTCAGCCCGCATCCCCCCTTGGCTCGGGCATCCCCACCTCTCCACCCTGGCTTGAGCTGCGCTGCGGTCCAGCAAAGCCAGGTTGGCCTCTGGGCGGGGCCCCGGCTGAGCATCTTCGCAGCCTTGGGCAGGGGGGCGAGGGGGGTGTGTGTGTGCAAGGCTTTCCCTGGCTTGGGGAGTAGGGGGAGCCTGTTGGAGCTCTTGGAGGCGGTGCCCTCGCCCTCCACCCCGGTCCGGAGATGAGCTTCTTTGGGTTCGGACAGAGCGCCGAATTGGAACTGGTCCTGAGCGATGCCGAGAGCCGGCGCCGGGCGGAACATAAGACGGAGGAGGGCAAGAAGGAGAAATACTTCCTTTTTTATGACGGCGAAACCGTGTCCGGGAGGGTCATCTTAACCCTCAAGCAGCCCAACAAACGCCTGGAACACCAGGGCATCAAGGTGGAATTCATTGGCCAGATTGGTAAGCATGGATTAATGCTTGGCTTGTTGACAGACCCTAGGATGGATGGATGGATAGATAGATAACCTTTATTGTCATTTTTTTTTACTGTGGGCACAATGGCACACGTTAAAAATGAAATTTGTTGCTTGCTCTCAAAGCGTACACATACATAACATACATTTAAATGTAACTATAAGCAACATATGTATAGACCACAGGTTGGCAACCTGTGGCTCCGGAGCCGCATGCGGCTCTTTGAGCCTTCCCCTGCGGCTCCCAGCCTCCTCTGCCATTTGCAGAGAGAGATAGAGACAGAGAGAGGCACTTGCACTCTCTCTCTCTCTCTCTCTCTCTCTCTCTCTCTCTCTCTCTCTCTGTGTGTGTGTGTTTGTGTGTGTAAAAGAGAGTGGACTCATGGTGTTCTCCAACAAGCTGAAAAGCTTTTTGGGCAGGGCTCCTCCCTTTGCTGCATCTCTGCAGGAAGCAGGAAGGGCAGGAGAGAGCTAGCTAGCCCAGCTATGCTGACTCAGGAATTCTGGGAGTTGAAGTCCATGAGTCATAAAAGAGCCGAGTTTGCCTACCCCTGAGCTTGTTGGACATCAGCTTGAAGTCAGCTTGCCAGGTGAGCAGATCAGAGAGAGGGAGAGAGAGGGAGAGAGGAAAGAGAGAGAAAGAAAAAGGGTGGGGGAAGAGGACTGGCAGACCAAGGGCAGAAAGAGAGGGAGGGAGAGAGAGAGACCCTTTTCCTTTGTTATCTTCATTTTAGATATCAAAAGGGTTTTGCGGCTCCCAGTGTTTTGTTTTCGGTGGGAAATGGGTCCAAGTGACTCTTTGAGTGTTTTGGGTTGGCTACCCCTGGTATAAACCTACACCCTTACCTATCAGAGATGCGGATGATAGCGGAAACTGCATTCATGATGCTGTGTTTCAATATGCCCTCAGCTGGGTGCGAGTGCAGGTAGTCCCCATTTAGCAACTGACCCATTTAGTGACTGTTCATCCGTAATAGCTATGATGAAAAGGTAACTTCACTGCCAAGGTAAAGCAAGGTCTGTGGAGCAAAAGAAAGCTGAATTCAGGTTGTGAGCACAGATGCAGTTTTGCTTGATGGTGGCTTTGCTTCATGACCAAGTTGTGGGTCCTAATTGTGGCCACTAAATGAGGATTTACCTGTAAAACAACCAGGATGACACTTGTGAGGCCAGTTTTTGGTGTCTTTTGGCATACTATCAAAGGACATCACTTAAACTTGGTAAAGGTTTTGACAGACACAGAAGGGTAGCTAACTTTAGGATGGAAAATCTATCTTGTCTTTGGGATTAAATTTAAAGAGAATTTGGAGTTTGGAGCATATTTTTATGATGACTGGCAGTTTTTTATTCTCACTAGAGAAAGGGTAGCTTGCTTAGGTACTTTGCCAGAAAAATCTTTTGTCTTAGAGAAGGGGTATCGACGTTAATAGCTTTAACACTTGTGAACTTCAGCTCCCAGAATTCCCCAGCTAGCCATGCTGGCTGGAGAATTCTGGGCTTTGAAGTCCAAAAGTTGCCCAAGTTGGATATTCCAACCTTAAAGTCAAGTCAGGTTTAGAGTTTGCCTTCCTTGTAGACTGGTTCAATTTAGCATGGGGATTGAATTAACTTTAAGGTGAGTTTTTATTGTTACTGGTGGCAATCTTAATCCTATTATAGTGATGATCGCTTTCTGAGTAATTAATTTTAGGTAAAATAAATGCTTTTCTATTGGATTAGATTAGGCTTGCTTCAGGTCTAAATTGAACTTTTAAGAAGTGGATGAGTTTTCATATTTCAGTGTTTTTATGATTACTGATGGTCCTTGGTTTTTGTTAGGATATAGAGGTTGCTTGGTTTTAAAGAAAAATCATTTCTTTTAAGGTCAGTTTATGGCTGGCTTTCCTTGAAGTCTGTAATTAAATTTTGTATAAGTTTTAGCTGCGTGTTTTTACGATTCGTGGTTATCTTAATGTCATCTCACAATGGAAATTGCTTTTTGAGATAATGCTTAGGGCTACACCACTGGTTTTTTTTCTCCCTTTAGGATAATTTTAGACATTGTTGAGTTGTATCCTTAAATTTAATAAGAATGTAAACTTTCTAAACTCATCTCTAAAGGAGAGGGATGGTTCAAAAAGGTCAAGTATAAATAAAACTTCGGGAAAGTTTTTATTTTACATTCATGGAATGATAGAAACTGCTCATTGCTCATTAGAGAGAGATTTAAGGTAAAGGAAAAGCTTTCGGGCTGAATTTGAGGGTAGGATTTAATGATTTCTGTGGCTTAGTTTTATACGAAGATTACCTGCACAGTGAATTTGATGGTTAGGGTTAGTCACTTAATAGGGAGAATTGCTTTCTGGATAAATATTCAGGGAAAAAAGTGCTATTGAAGTACATGGAGTCCTCTCTTAATGATCAATCACTTAGCAACCGTTGTTAGTTATGACCCATCCCCAAATTATGACTGTGGCATCACCCTAAATGCCGTCATGTGATTGAATTTTGAGCTCTTGGCAATTGGCGTGCATTTATGACGAGTTGCAAGTGTCCTATGCCAGTTTCCAGGGGGGAAAAAAACCCACACCCTTTCAGAAGAATGGATTTGCTTGCTTGTTTGAAAGCCACCTGGGACTTGCGACTTCCTGCCGGTTTCCCCACTGACTTTGCTTGTGGGAAGCCTGCGGGAAGTTGCAAGTCATGGTCACTACGGTCCCCACTTAATAACCTGTGATCCTTGCTTAACAATGGCAAAGGCGACTGCATTGGGTATGACTGCCAGGATTGTAATCACTAAACGATGCAGCCATGGGACATTGCAGTTTACAACTGTGTCACTTAGTGACAGAAATTCCGGGGATCCCAATTACCGTCATTACGTGAGGATTACCTGTATTCATTTCATAGCTCATCAGCGCGTGCCACATTTTTTTTAATCTCAAATCTATGCGCTTATCCCAAGTTCCTATTAATTATCTTGAAAAGGCCAGCTGGCAATTTTGAATATCACACGTAACCCTGAGCGCAAATTTGCTGAACTTTTCCCAGTAAATTTTCTTTTTTTTTTTTTTAATGTAAGAACTTGAATACGCCAGGATCCCTGTTTGATTCTATTTCACCCTTCCCTGATAGACTATCAAAGCATCTTAATTGGGCAACAGGAAATAACTGTCAATGGCTTGGGTCAGGGGTTTCTAAACTTGGCAACTTTAAGATCTGTGAACTTCAACTCCCAGAATTCCCCAGCCAACTGGTTGAAGAATTCTGGAAGTTGAAGTCCACAGATCTTAAAGTTGCCAAGTTTGGAGACCCCTGGCTCAGATGATGGATATTTTGGGAGGTGGGTGGGGAAGAAGTCCTAGCTGAGCAATAGAGCATGTGTTTTCAAGGTCCAGGATTCAAATCTTCTCAGCCCTAATTAAAAAAGAAAGGTGATAGGAAAGAATTCTTTTTTTTTAAATTTTTTTTTTATTTTTCCAAACTTTCCCCCATACATATACCGTGATATTTATCAGATGTTAACATACATTCTTTTTAAATTCATATATAAGATACTTTTAATAAAATGAAATAAATACATACACATGACTTTTGGTGTTGCTCGCCCATTTCCCCTTTCACTGTATCCACTCCTTCTTTCTCCCTTTCTTCTCTTCCCTACTTCCCTCTTCTTCCTCTCCTCTTCTCTTTCCTTCACCACTATCCTCCCCTTTCTCCCCACTTCTCCTCTTCTCCTCCAACCTTCCTACTTCCTTCTCCCCTCCTTTACTCTTTTCTCTCTCCTCTCCTAGGAAATAATTCTTATAACGATTCAGGTTGATCAAGATAGATGGAACAATAGTGATTCTTTTCTTAAAAAAAAAAAATAGTAACCAGCAACTCCAAGCTGCTCAGATCAATGAACTGCACCAGGCTTGATTTAAATGGGCAAGCAACCTTTTACGTAAAGCTTGCTTTATTAAAATGCTATGTAATTTAAGATACGGCAGCTCAGTTGCGTTTGACTTTCTTTGCGTTATTTATGCAGCAGTCTGGATTCCCAGAGAAAACCCATTGGCGACGCCTTAAATCAAAATGCCTATTTTCTTCTTGGTGGCTCAGTAGGCCATTTCAGAATTGCATCTATTTGCGTGACCCAATTTGTAGTTTGTTCCTTGCACTAGTAATTGGTTTTGGGTGATGTTGCCCAGAACTAAACCTTGGAAAAACATCAGCACAGCAGAATAGTTTAATGGAAAGTTTTCTTCAAAATATTCTTGGGTTTTCTTTTTCCCACCCCACACTGTTTCTCAAAAGGGGCGAGATGTCAGGGTGATATCAGGGTGGCATCAGAGCTGTGGTGGTGCAGTGGTTAGAATGCAGTATTGCAGGCTAACTCACTGCTCACTGTCAGGAGTTCGATTCTGACCAGTTCAAAGTTGGCTCAGCTTTCCATCGGTAAAATGAGGACCGTGTTTGTTGGGGATAATATGCTGACTCTGTAAATTACTTACAAAGGGTTGTAAAGCACACTATGAAGCAGTGTATAAGTCTAAGTCAGTGGTTCTCAACCTTTTTAATGCCGCGACCCCAACCGGTCGTAAGTCGAGGACTACTCAACTGGTGCAGCACCGTTTGCAGAATGAGACTTTTGGCGGGCTCAGCAGGGCAGAGACAGCCTGGACAATTCCTATTGGCTTTTGAAAGCCAATAGAATTAGACTCTATTCAAGAGAGTCTATTCTACTGGCTTTCAAAAGCCAATAGAATAAAAGGGAGTAGCACAGCTAAGGAAAAGGGAGAAAAAAATGGCAGACTGCGTTGTTTGGCGATCCCCGTGAAATGGTCGTTCAACCCCAAATGGGGTCCCGACCCACAGGTTGAGAACCACTGGTCTAAGTGTTATTGCTATTGCTATTTTAATTTTATTTAACATGGAAGTATCTTTTTTAATGGAGAGTTTATCCCTCCTAGAATTATACTACGATCGAGGGAACCATCATGAATTTGTGTCTCTGGTGAAAGATTTGGCCCGTCCTGGCGAATTCACCCAATCCCAAACTTTTGACTTTGAATTCACTCATGTGGAGAAACCGTACGAATCCTACACTGGGCAGAACGTGAAGCTCAGGTGAGTTCCATTCCCCCAAGTGGGCTTCTCTAGTCAAGTCTTCTTCCCTCCCTCCCCCCTCTGGAGATGAACCTGCTTAGAATCATCTTAATCCACCTTTTCCCCTTTCATAGGTACTTCCTCCGGGCCACCGTGAGCCGCAGATTAAATGACGTGGTGAAAGAGATGGACATTGTAGTGCACACGCTTAGCACGTATCCGGAGCTCAACTCCTCCATTAAGATGGAGGTGGGGATTGAAGATTGCCTGCACATTGAGTTTGAGTACAATAAATCCAAGTAAGTTGGCTTGTCCTGAACTTCTTAGATGTGTGAGCCTTGTGGCTGGTAATGTAGCCAAGGAACATGTGAAGAACGGTTGCAGGAATTGGGTATGCTTAGTTTAATGAAAAGAAGGACTAGGGATGACATGATAGCATCTTCCAATATCTAAAGAGCTGCCACAAAGAAGAGAGGGTCTGCAAGCAATATAAATCCTTCCACTCCCCACCATCCAGTCAGAGCTGAAGAAGCTTCTTGGATGAGAAGCGAAACGTCTTCAAAAGAAACACAAGAAAGTCCAGTTGCCTCCTGAAAAAAAGCACAACACTACGATTTTGGTCTCTTTCTGATCCAGTCGTTCTTTTTCAGTCCAGTGTCCCTTTTGTGGTGGGGAGAAGTTGGAAGAGGACCTCCAGCTTTAAGCTCCTGCAGGAAAGGATGAAGCAGATCCACAACTACAGATTCCAAGAAGATCTGTGAAGAGAACAGGTTATTCTGATCCACCGGCCTCATTCCCTGTTGATCTACCATCTCTTCCAGGTACCACTTAAAAGATGTGATTGTAGGGAAAATCTACTTCCTCCTTGTCCGGATCAAGATCAAACACATGGAGATTGACATCATCAAGAGGGAAACCACTGGAACAGGGCCCAACGTCTACCATGAAAACGACACCATTGCGAAATACGAGATTATGGACGGGGCTCCTGTGAGAGGTGAGGTGGAAGACCCTTCTCCATGGGGGACCATTCCAGGGCGTTGTGGCTGATTGGGGGGGGGACAGAGAAAGCCACTCCCCCTTTTTTCACTTCTCTCCATCCTAATGACTTCTTTGTGGCATACTTCAGACTTATAGTAGGCAGGGATATTAGATATCTGCGCCGCCTGGACATAACAATTTTTTAAAAAATATTTAAAGCAACTTGAATCTGAGTGGACTTCACCTCCCAGAATTCCCCAGCCAGCCAGCCATAATGGAACCTAGAATTCCCATTAAAAGTCAAGAGGATTGTAAGTCACGTCGTGACCTTTTTTGTGCCAGTTGAGCAAATGCCACAGTCGTTCAGGGAGTCAGTGGTAAATAAATTGCCTGACCACAGTTATCCTGAAATGAAGTCCCATGCCTGGGGGGGACGTATGCCATCATCGTAACTCTGGATCTGGGTCATAAGCACCTTTGGTGGAGGGGTCTGTCATATCTTTGAGCAGTTGTTAAGTGGGTGGTTCTTAAATGAGGACTACTTTAATAGGGAGAAATCCAGCACAATAATATAATTATATTATAATATCATCTAAATAGGTAAAATCTGAAATAAGGATAAAAGTACAGCGATGCATAAATAAAACAAAAATACATTTGAAAACATTACACTTCGATATTTTGCTATTGCCATCAAAACCCCTCCACAAAGTTGCGTGCTTAAAAAATAATAACAAAAATCAAAATGAAGCCAATTAAAATAAAATAGCAACATCGAATAATAAAATGATAATGGAACCAATAAATAAAACAGTAATGAATACTAAAGTTAAATAATAAATGAATAATAACAATAATTGGGCTTTTTTGGGCATATGTGCATTTTTATTCGGACATAGACCAGATTATCTTATCTGCCTCGTGTGTGTGTGTGTGTGTGTGTGTGTGTGTGTAAACATATGAAGGAGAATATTTGTAGCTCAGGCTTGAAAAGTCCATGGTGCTGTCGGAGCTTGGTTGTTTTGTTGCAGACGTTTCATTACCAAACTAGGCAACATCATCAGTGCTAGGAGTGAGTGGCGTTTATAAACAGAAACCAAATTCCCATCCCCTCCTAGCACTGCTGTTATTACCTGGTTTAGTAATGAAACGCCTGCAAGAAAACAACAAAACCCAGAGAGCACCAAATTTATAAAAGGATAAAACCATAATAATAATAATAATAATTTGGTCGGCTAACTGCCTCTCACATCCTTTGCAGGAGAGTCCATCCCGATTCGGCTCTTCCTGGCTGGCTATGAACTGACGCCTACCATGAGGGACATCAATAAGAAGTTCTCGGTGCGCTATTACCTCAATCTGGTGCTAATTGATGAGGAGGAACGACGTTATTTTAAACAGCAGGTGAGAAAACCGAATTATTTGGGGAGGGAGATTTGGGCAGGAGTGAAATCCTGGGGCAGAGAGTCCCCCAACATGGGCGACGGCCCTAGAGCAATGTTTGTCAACTTAAGCAACTTGAATCTGAGTGGACTTCACCTCCCAGAATTCCCCAGCCAGCCAGCCATAATGGAACCTAGAATTCCCATTAAAAGTCAAGAGGATTGTAAGTCACGTCGTGACCTTTTTTGTGCCAGTTGAGCAAATGCCACAGTCGTTCAGGGAGTCAGTGGTAAATAAATTGCCTGACCACAGTTATCCTGAAATGAAGTCCCATGCCTGGGGGGGACGTATGCCATCATCGTAACTCTGGATCTGGGTCATAAGCACCTTTGGTGGAGGGGTCTGTCATATCTTTGAGCAGTTGCTAAGTGGGTGGTTCTTAAATGAGGACTACTTTAATAGGGAGAAATCCAGCACAATCAGACTGGCCAGATTCTTTACCTACACTCAATGTCAAAAATGGCTTTAGCCTTCTTAACGAAGTTGATTTCCTGCTGGCGTTTAAGGGTATCCATGCATTTACTATCCAGCGTATCCCTGTTTAATGCAGAGCAAGTTCTCTGATGCACATTGCTGCCCCTGCCCAGACTTTTCAGAATAGCTGAGATGGAGAACTATGGGAGATGTAGTCCTTGAGCATCGGTTAGACCAGGGGTAGGCAACCTTGACTCTTTTATGACTTGTGGACTTCAACTCCCAGAATGAGCCGAGGTGGCGCAGCAGTTAGAGTGCAGTACTGCAGGCCACTTTAGCTGACTGTGTTCAACAGGTCAGCGGTTCAAATCTCACCGGCTCAAGGTTGACTCAGCCTTCCATCCTTCCGGGGTAGGTAAAATGAGGACCCAGATTGTTGGGGGCAATGTAAATATATACATACATTGCTTACTGGTGTACACCGCTTAGAGAGAGCTTGCACTTAAAGCGGTATATAAGTCTCATAAATAAATAAATAAATAAATTCCTGAGCCAGCATGGCTCAACATGGAAACCTCTCTCCCCTCAACATGGCTCGCTCAGGAATTCTGGGAGTTGAAGTCCACGAGTCATAAAAGAGCCAAGGTTGCCTACTCCTGGGTTAGACCCTAAGCTTCCTCTTCTTGATTAGCTGGTGCAGCAGGTTCTCCTGTCTTCTTCTCCTTTGGGGCACAGGAGGTGGTGTTGTGGCGCAAAGGGGACATTGTGAGGAAAAGCATGTCCCACCAGGCCGCCATCGCTGCGCAGCGCTTCGAAGGCACATCGTCCCAGACGGAGAGCAGGACCCCCAGCCAGGCTTCGGAGAACAACGGGCGGCAGTGAAGGCCCTCAAAGGAGCACCGAGAGCGCCTCTTCCACCAGAAACTTGCAAACGCAAAATTATCTGTCAGGTTGTCTTTCTGTCTGTGTGTGTTTCGTCTTTTACCTTGAGGACTAGCAGCTTAACAGGACGGGGAAGGGGGTTGGCGCACATAAATGGAGTATGGCTGTTTCTCTCTACATTCAGTATTTATGGATAAGCTTAAAGGGGCAGGACAGATGGGGTTTTTGGATGTTGTATTGGAAGAGGACTGTGGAAAAATATTTTTTTTAAGAGAGTCCCGTTTTCTCTCTATTGGAAGCTGTGTGCTCCAGCGTGACTGCTGTCAGAGGAGTTCAACCATATATTTAGCAATCATCTGTGAATATACCATGGGTCAAATGCTCCCCAGACTTTGGATGACTTAGACGCACGAGCAGCCACAGGGAGTGTATGTGTGTGTACAAAGCAGCTCCCGTTCTTATGTTGTTACCCAAATGAAGCAGGTTACTTAATTCCTGGCCTTTGCACATTGGGGTCATGTTGTGCATGACGTTATCACAGCTTGTACCAGATGCCGAGAAATTTCTTTGTATTTTATTTTCTGGAAGAGGCTGAGCATACTTTGCTCCTAAAGATTTTATCTTTAAAAGTTTTATCCCTTGAAAAGAAGGCCCTGCCTTTGGAAAGGATAGCCCTGTGTTCCTGCATGAGTCTGTGTTCTGAAAGCACCTTCTAAATGAGAAAAACAATTTGAGGATTGAGCATCGTGATGGACAAACCACTACACCTGAAAAGAAAGCGACGGAAACGCCTGAATCATTTTGGGAGACAGTGGAGAACCTCCTTGTTGATCCTGACACATACTTGGCAAACATCTATCTTAAATTTTTTCAAGTTTGTAAGCAGTCTTGGGTGAAAACACTTCTTTCCAACAGCTTCCCCTAGGCCAGAGGTAGGCAACCTCGGCTCTTTTATGACTCGTGGACTTCAACTCCCAGAATAGCTGACTCAGGAATTCTGGGAGTTGAAGTCCACGAGTCATAAAAGAGCCGAGGTTGCCTACCCCTGCCCTAGGCTGATCTTTGCAGAGAGAGGGAGCAAAGCAGGAAATCCAAACATTTTTGCTTAAATTGTGAAGTTGATTAAAACGCACGCTCCTTGCTTCTGTCAAAGTTGTCCTTTTAAGCCAGAGATGGGGAACGATGACCCCCTTTATGACTTGTGGACTTCAACTCCCAGAATTCCTGAGTCAGCACGGCTAGCTCAGGAATTCTGGGAGTTGAAGTCCACAAGTCATAAAAGGGCCATCGTTCCCCACCTGTTTTAAGCTCTGTCAAATTTACTTCCTTTCTCCCGATTCTTCCAAGAATGCGGTTGCTCCTCATTCTTGGGATTCGTAAAGTCTGTGCTCGAAATGGAAGGATCACTTACCCTCATCTCAGGAGTTTCTCTGTTGCTTCTCTGCCTGATATACTCTGCCGAATTTGTTTCCTGCTTGGACGGTGTGGCTCCGCTGGGACCATCCAGCTGGTCTTGTCAGAAAACCTGATTTTGGAGGAAAATAGCCAAAAGAGTGGATCATGGACTCAATTGACTTCTGTGAGCAATGGGCCACCAGCCACCTAACTTAGCAATGTTGCCAGACTGGTGATTGTTCTCCTTCATGTCTGGCCCCAAGACTTTTACATTGCTTTCTAAGTTCATTAGAAAGATGGAAATTCAATGGCCTGCAAGAGAGATCTTCCACTGTTCCATGCAGAGAAAGCAATTTTTCAACTTTACCTGAAGATGTCAGCATATGGAATGAACTGAGTGCCTCTTAGTATAGTGCAAGCTGAATTTTCTTGGTTTTTTTTCCTTTTCAAAAGGAATTAATCATAACAGAAGAGAATAACAGAGTTGGAAGGGAACCTCAGAGGTCTTCTAGTCCAACCCCCTGCTGCAGCAGGAAATCCTATGCCATTTCAGACAAATTAAGGTCAGTTGCGGCCAGTCTTGTCTGATTCTTATTCCCTGCCTCCATTTTGTGATTAGTAAGGCACTTTCTGGCCTGAAGGTGGATTGAAAATCATGGATTGCAGTTTGCAAATATTCTCAAAGTGTGTGAAATCAATCCATGTTCCCTCCTGTTTCTGTCTCATTTAGCAGCATGGTCAGTACTGTCTTGGTCCATTTGTGGCCTTCAGCACTTTTAGGATTCCCCTCATATTTTATTTTATTTTTTATTTTACATTATGCGTGCTCTTAAATCGGGGTGGATTGTGTGGAGACTTTGTGGCTTCAATTCAGCAACAAAGGTGCGGGTTTTTCCACCAATTTGGGGAAAGAAAACAAATGAACTGCGTTAAGGCTGCTGATAAACTGACTTCAACTTAGTTGCCTTTTGTTGTTAAAGTATTTGTGTCTAAGGTGGTTGCCTGATCCTGCCATACGGGATGAGAATTAGAATTGTGAAATTCTTCCTCTAGAAAAGAAATTACACTTCTACTTGCTATACTATTTATAAACTACTTGTAGTATACGATCTAAATATACATTGAATAAATAACCGAAAGGTAAGTAGCTAATTGTTTTAAGAATTCTGGACCAATCTTACTCCTCATCACTTTTCACAGAAGTGTCTACGAAAACATGGAACGATACAACAGTCTCACTTTTTGCTTTGCAATAAAGTCAGGTTTCTAGTCGTCATGGATGTCAGCATCTAAAATTTGTCGGTCGTACCCTGTTCAGATTTTCAGAAGTAGCAATTTGAGCATGGAAAATTTCCAGGGGTATGTAAGTGAGTTTTTTCCCCTCTTGGCCAGAAACATGAGAAACTGGGTGTTTGAGGACCAATGTTGGAAAGTAACTCAAGCTTTCTGCAGCTGGACTCTTCTGAATAAAGGACACTATTTTGAACTCGGAACATTTTCAGAATGATTGAAGCCTCCCATTTTTATATTCAAAAGAGAAAGAGAAGATATTCATTGTCCAAAAGGTTGAACTTCTGGGTAGGCATTATTGTTATAAGCCAGTTTGGTTTCAAGGTGGCTTCTTAACCAAGAGAAAGGAGGCTAAACCATGTTTAAATCACAGTGTCCATCTTTCACAATGAGCTGACATCAAGCCAATCACAATATGACTTAGAGCACTGCGTGAATCTGGCCCTGGTGCCTTGTAAATCTTAGTTATGGATTAGCATTAGGTGTGAATTGAACCATTATAGCCTAATTATATTGATCATGGCTAGTAGATTACACTAAGCATGGTTAAAGCAGGTTAGACCTTAATTAAAATAAACTTTGGTTATGAAACCATGGTTTAGTGCAGCAGTGCCCATTAAAAGCCAAATAGACGTAGGGAATTCTTGAAACTTTGGGCATCCAGAATGCTTTCAAAAGTCACTCAACTGAGATGGGAAGAAGAGGGAATGTTATTTGGGGAATGAACTTACTAACTGTATATAACTGAATTGTATTCTATTTAAAAAACGTGTATATATATTTTTATTCTGGCCCAACCAGTTTTTGTTCTGGCACCCACTTACTTTTTTGTAGAACGGACCCCCCCCCCATGTTCATCTTTTACAAAAGATGGTGCATACTTGGTGTGATGTTTGACTCCATCCAAGAAGTCACTTTCTTTCGCTATGTGTCTCTGTATTTGTACAGATAGTCCTCGGCTTACAACCACAACCGAAGCCCCAAATTTCTGGGGCTAAGCAAGGCAGTTAAGTGAGTTTTTGCCCCGTTTTTCCACCTTTCTGACCACAGTTGTTAAATGAATCCCTGCCATTGTTAAGACATTAGCACGGTTGTTAAGTGAATCTTGCTTCCCCATTGACTTGGCTTGTCAGAAGGTCACAAAAGGGGAATGCATGACTCTGGGACGCTGCAACCGTCATAAGTATGAGTCAGTTGCCAAATGTCTGGATTTTGACCATGGGACCACGAGGGTGCTACAGTGGTTGGGTGAAAAAATGGTCATGTCACTTTTTTCATTGTAACTTTGAATGGTCACTGAACGTACTGTTGTAAGTCAGGAGTACCTCTCTGTACAAGCCTTCTCTGAGGATACTTCACATCCTTCTAAGATTTCCTCAAGAAGGAGGATGAAGATGGAAGGTTTTGTGACTGGTACCGCCACTTTTCTGGAGAACTTCATGGAAAACATGAAAATTTTCCCGTTCTTTCCGAGTTCCTTCTTCGGTCGCAGCACCACTGCCAAGCCAGGATGGCGACAAAACTATCCCATAATCTTCTCAGAGAACTTTGCCACTTGGAGTCTATCAATGTGCTCTTTGCCGTTCAAAAAAATCACCTGTTGTCGAAATGAGGCGGACACCTTATGTCTGCTTTCGGCTCATTTATCAGGATCACACAGGCATTCACTTGCAAAGGTAGTTTTAAAAAAGTTTTCCAGAACAGCTCAGTGACAACCTTGAAGTAAAAGGCAAATAGGCCGTGATAAATCTACGCTGGACTTTGAAAGAACCATTCATACTACGTAGTTGTATTCTCTGAGACAGTTTGGCTCTGAGATAAATACTATTTTGAAACTGCCAAGGGAGTAAACCCACTCTTACAGCCATAGGAGAGAAAACTGGAAAGCTTTGGAAAGTGAAATTCAGCTGCTAGATTGGTCATCTGGGACTGGGAAATGGAGATGTAGATACATTCCGTTATTCCACAGAAAATCAAAAGTGGAAGAAACCAGGATGGAGAGAGAAATCCCGGTTCTTGAATAGCATCTTCCTTCCTTGATGAAGTAACCAAGTTACTTCAAGATGTGCTATTTCTACAGATAAGATCCAGGAATCAGTAGTGACATATGAAAGGTCTTTTCAGTTCACCCCTCCAGACAGGTCCAGGAAACTGAACTAGAGTTGGTGAATTTCTAATTATGAAAAATATCCTGTTGCCCAATCTGGTTGTGATAGACAGTGGTGAGATTCAGCCGGTTTGCACCACTTTGGCAGAACCGATAGCTAATTTTTTGTTGCCCAGGCCCAGAACGGACTTCCGGAAGCGGCATCCACACAGAGAACCAGTTCCCATATTTGAATCCCACCACTGGTGATGGAGAACAGTCTTCTCCAGTGTTGTGTCCTGCACATGTATTGGACCACAACTCCCAGTAGCCTTAGCAGCAGACCAGGTAGAAATCTGAAAATCCAACATGTTTAGCAGGGAGAAAACTGCTCTATCCCTCCATTTCCGGTGATTTTCAAACACTTGTTTCTACTAAGTGATCTTGGCAGACCTCAACTTAATTGAGCACAAAATTTCCATTGCTAAGCAAGGCAGTTAAGTGAGATTTGCCCCATTTATGACCTTTTTGCCACAGTTCTCGCGTGAATAACTAAAGTTATTCTGTAAATCATGCAGTTAAGCAAATCTGCCTTCTCCCATTGACTTGGCTTGTGAAAAGCTGGCTGGGGAGATAACAAAGGATGATCACGTGGCCCTGGGGATGCTACAACAGTTGTAAATACACACCAGTTGCCAAGTGCCCGAATTTTGATCACATGGCCAGGGGGACGCTGCAACCGTTGTTAAGTATGAAAACCGGAGATAAGTCACCTTTTCACTGCCATTGTAACTTTGAACAGTAACTAAACAAATGGTTGTAAGTTAAGGACTACCCGTATTTATTTCACATCAATTCCAGCAAGGGGAAAAGGTCTTCTAGTTTGTCTCCGGCTTGGGACAGTACAGAAATACAAAGTTGTAGAAGAAATGATGGGAGTCCATAATGATTAGAGGTTAAAAAAAACACCTGGAGGTGGGGGCAAAAAGAGGGTCTACGGGTAAGCTGTGCAACATGTAAATTTTAAGCTTGTACATTGTTTACCTGTTTCTTAACCCATTGTCTTTTAAATGTTTGTATTTTTAAAAGGATGGGAAGTTTTCTTTTGGCTCCAATTAAAAAAAGGGGGGGCTGTTCTCGCCTTTGAAAAGTTGGGGGCTGGCGTGACTTTTTTTTCCAATTGTGCTGAGGTTGTCTTTCAAACCTGCCTGTAGAGAGAAATTATGGCATCTCTGCCTTGCAGCAATATATTTCTTTGTTATCCTGCCTGTATTATTTTTACAAATAACTCAAGGCAGAGAACAGATCCAACCTTCCTCCTATTTTCCTCACAACAACAACAACACTGTGAGATGGCTTGGGCTGAGAGGGACGGGGCCAAACTCATTCAGGCAACTTTCATGCCTGAGGTGGGACTAAAACTCACCATCTCCTAGTGATTGGCTCAAAGTACCCAGCCGGCTTTCATGCCTAAGATGGGACTAGAATTCACAGTTCCCTGGTGATTGGCCCAAAGTCACCAAGGCTGGCTTTCATCCCTATGGAGAAACTTGAACTCACCATCGCCTAGTAATTGGCTCAAAGTCACCCAGCCGGCTTTCCTGCCTATGGTGGGACTAGAACTCACCGTCTCCTGGTGAGTGGCTTAAAGTCATCCAGCCAGCTTTCCTGCCTAAGGCAGGACTAGAACTCACCGCCTCCCATTTTCTAGTCTAGTGGCTTAACCACTAGACCAAACTGGCCTCGAGTGCAGAATTTTATTGGAAGGAGGAGAGGCATTCTGCTTATGCTCAGACGATTCTCTGAGATTTCCTCAGCGCTTACCAGGAGAATTGATACTTGTTTTACTTTGTTAAAGCGACAGACAGCTTTTGCCTTTTAAAAACTCCTAACGGTCTCAAAGTCTACCAGTCACCACTATGTGCAAATAGAACTGCTCACAATCCACAAATCTATTCTTGTTGGTTTGTTTTCCAGACCTGTATTCCTGTTTCTACATCACTTTATAATGACTTTATGCGGCCTTAGAATTGGTTCGCATTTTTGCACGGATGTGTATATTTGTATATGGGTGTTGTGCAATGTTAGCACTTCCTATTTTATGTGAATTGGGGGTTATTTTTGGCATAATTTAACGGAGCTTTGTTGGAAAAGTTGCAGTTAGTGGGAAGACAGATAATTACGGCCTTTTGATTTTAGCAAATACAAATGAGCTAATTATTAAATTGGTCTTTAAATGCAAGCTAATTCGAGGCCTGAAGAAACGTTGTTTTCCCTCCCTCGAAAATTAAAAAAAAAATGACTAAAAACATTTATTTAGAAAAGGTTGCACTGCAATCAAAAAGGAACGAGTAGAAATTGAACAGTAAATGCTTGTGCTCTTTGCTCTCCGTGTGGTTTTGCAAGGAAGTGGTTTTAAAATCGGTTCTTGCGATTCTTTTTTTTTTTTTTTGGTCCCTTATTCCAGGCTCAAAATGAATTCAAATTCCTCTTGAAAAGAAAAGAGAAAAGTCAGTCAGTCAGGGTGCTCTGCTCTGTTTACCTATGGAGCTTTTCATAACCCCTAATTTATGGCTTAGCTTTACAAATAGTCCTCAACTTAACGATGACAATTAAGATCAAGATTGCCATTGCTGAGCAATGCGGTTATAAAGCCCAAAGTCACAGGACCGCATTGCTTAGCGACAGCAATCCGGGCAGTTTTGATTGTCGACGTAAACCCAAGTCATGTAGGTTGTTAAGTGGGAACTAGAGGGAGTCCGGGTAAGAACCAGAGTCACTTCGTGAAATTGGACAGCCATAGAAATCAACTAAACATAAAAACCAGTTGTAAGTGCGAGCTGCTTACCAAACCCCTGAACTTTGTTCATGCAACTACTAGGAATCCTGCAACAGTCAGAACTTCAAGGACCGGTATCATAATTTCAAACAGACTGCTGAGCAAATGGTCGTAACGTGGAGACTATGAGCCGAGGCGGCGCAGCAGTTAGAGTGCAGTACTGCAGGCCACTTTAGCTGACTGTGTTCAGCAGGTCAGCGGTTCAAATCTCACCGGCTCAAGGTTGACTCAGCCTTCCATCCTTCCGGGGTAGGTAAAATGAGGACCCAGATTGTTGGGGGCAATGTAAATATATACATATACATACATACATACATACATACATACATATATGTTTTCTGAGGTTTTCGCGGGTGTTTGTATGTAGGTCTTTGGTTGTTCGGGTTTTCTCCCGCGTAAAATTGGAAGTGTCTTGGCGACGTTTCGACAAAGTCCCATTCGTCATCTTCAGGCTGGTGTTTTCAGCTTCGTGCTGCTCGAAGCACAAAGCTGAAAACACCAGCCTGAAGATGACGAATGGGACTTCGTCGAAACGTCGCCAAGACACTTCCAATTTTACGCGGGAGAAAACCCGAACAACCAAAGACATATATATATATATATATATATATATATATATATATATATATATATATATATATATATATATATATATATATATATATACACACACACATTGCTTACTGGTGTACACCGCTTAGAGAGTGCTTGCACTTAAAGCGGTATATAAGTCTCATAAATAAATAAATAAATAAAATCTATATATGCAAACCAGAATTAATCAGGAAGACTCTGATTCTCTCACGTCCTTACCCTCACTGACGGGTTGGATGGACAACCTCCGTCTTGTGAACAGAGACATCTCTTTCAGAGGGCCTCCAGACTTCTGGTGGGCTTGGTGATGGGCCTTGAGTTCAGCCAGAGGGATGAACCGCTGGGTCATTCGCACAAACTGGACATCGACCTATAAGCGAAAGGGAAGGACATCGATGGGATTGAGGAACAAGACCAGAAGTGACGTGTTCAAGAGTTGGTTCCTCAACTGAAAAAAGATTCGGGGCGTGGGGTGGGGATTCTTTTGTAAAGAAGTGTTTTTCAACGTCAGCAGCTTTTTAAGATGTGTGGACTTCAACTCCCAGAATTCAGACTCCAAGGGTCTGCACATTTGGCAACTTGAAGACTTGTGGACTTCAACTCCCAGAATTCCCCAGCCAGCATGCGCTGGCTGGGGAATTCTGGGAGTTGAAATCCACAGACCTTAAAATGGCCGACGTTGAGAAACACTGCTGCAAATAATGAACCGTAAATTCGCCTGGTTTTGGCCAGTTCGTAGGAAGGCTATAAAAAAACCATTCTCTGCCTAATGTACACAAAAGACAAGAAACCACCATGTAAACTATGATGGTACTGAAGAGTTCTGAAAAATGGTTGAAACTGGGACACAAATTAACAAAGGGATCAATATTAGTTTTCATGTTGCTGGGAACAGGGAACTGATTGCCAGGCACTGGCAGGATTGAATTAGGGAAGAACCTTGCAAATCCTTGATGAAATCCCCCTTACCATGGACCACCTGGGGTCTTCCTTTGTGCTGGAAGCGTCGTAATACGGACTACTTTTTTCAAATTGGGTGTGATCAGGGTAAGCCTCTTTAACAATCTGAGAAGGAAAGGAGAGAGGAGAGGATCTCAGTTGCTGCAGCCTCAGAACCGCAGAGCAGAAAACGGCCTTCATCCCAAACAGGCATCGCCTCAAAATCAAACATTCTGATCTTAACATTAATTTTATTGATTATACAGGTAGTCCTCAACAGAATTTCTGTTGCTAGGTGAGGCAGTCGTTAAGTGAGTTTTGCCCCATTTTATGACCTTTCTTGCCACAGTGATTAAGTGAATCACTCTGTTATGATTCCTTGCCAGCCCGTGGATCCGGCAGCTGAGTCTGAGGAATCAAGAGGAGGAGGAGGAGGAGGAGGAGGAGGGGCCTGGAGTGACATCAGAGTCAGAGGAAGCTCTGAGCAGCTCCAAAACTTACAGTCTGACGAGGAGCCTGGCCCCTCTACTCGTGCTCAGGCTGAGACACAGCTGTGCTGGGAGTCTGAGTTGGACAGTAAGGAATCACAGCTGGGAGCTATCCAGGAGCACATAAATGCTGGCAAGAAAAGCGAGTAGGACAGAGGAATACAACGGGGCGGCTCCAAAGGCAAAGGAGAAGGCATTAGGAAGCCACGCTTTGGCTGCACAATAAAAGGGAAGGTGTGGGAGGTGCTGGTTGCCGAACTGTGTTTGTTTGCCGTGGACATTTACTCAGGTCTGTGAATAATAAAAGGGGATTGGTTTTTTCCCCCTGTGGTTCCAGCCTGCTTGTTGGAAGAGGGGTTTCTCCTTGTGAGTTTGACAAGGACTCACGTAGGCTGGGACAGAACACACTGCAGTTGTTAAATTAGTAACGTGGTTAAGTGAATCTGGTTTCTCCATTGACTTTGCTTGCCAGAAGGTTGCAAACGGGGATCACATGACCCCAGGACGCTGCCACCATCATAAATGTGAGTCAGCTGACAGGTGTCTGAATTTTGATCACATGACTACGGGATGCTGCAAGGATGGTAAGTATGAAAAATGGTCATAAGTCAGTTTTTTTCAGTACCATTGTACATTTGATTGGTCAGTCAATAAATGGACTGGTAAGTCAAGGACTACCTCTATTGTACAGTGCCCAGAGCCCCTTCTCAGGAAGTTTGGCAGTGAAGAAATAGGAAATATAAATAAATGAATAAAACCTACAAGGCCCATTCCCAATTCACACACGTTACATAGATCAACATCAAGGGGAAACCTAAGATTGGCATGTCAAGCCCATCTTCAGCCTGTTGGGGGGTGATGCTTTTCCAGGATGGGCGTGTTTCAAACTTTGCACTCACCTTCATGATACCTGCAATCCCAGGGTCCTTGCAATTACTGTGGTAGAAAAAAGCTTCTTCTCCAACCTTCATATCCCGCAGGAAATTCCTTGCCTGCCAAAAGAGAAGAGTGAATTTCCGGCTTTTGTGTGTGCAGGAAACAATCCACAGCTTGTACGCTTTTATATAAGCCCCACTGCAGTCTACAGTATATTGCTCCAGTTTTAGAAGTGAGGATACAACATTAGCCAAAGATGCAATTATAATGAGTAACCATAATGAAGTTTGACTAAGCAAACCAGGTGGCGTCCCCACATCCCACGAAGCCATGTTTTAGGGTAATCACAGTTTGTTCAGTAAGCAACAAATGGCTGGATTGGCATTTCATTGTAAATTGGTTTGGCTTTACCTTGGCCCAAACTTAATTAATTATGGCTTACTCAGAAGTAAACCGCAAGAAGTGGAAATTCATGGAGTACTAAAAGCAGACCTTGTCTGCTTAACAGACTTCAATCCATCAGCAAATTATCTAGAAACTGGTTGATTTCAAATCTATCCCATTCAAGATATTTTACTTATAGGTAGTCCTCAATTTATGAGCAGAGTTCGGCTTTGAACATCTATTGCTGAGCATGGCAGTTGTTAAGTAAGTCATGCCCAATTTTATGACCTTTTCTGCTTTGGTCGCTAAGTGACTTACGCTGTTGTTAAACAAATCTGGCTTTCCCCAATGAATTTGCTTGTCAGAAGCCGGCTAGTACACTCTTGAATGGGAGATAATCAAAGACATTAAACTTTATCTCTGGTTTCCCATTTTTATAACTTTTAACAAAAACTGTCAAATATATTCTACAACAGTTTTACCTGATAATTCCTGACTCCATCCCAACAAGCTGTTTGATTAGGCTGAGCTTTTAAATCTTCAATGCCAAACTGGTGAATGAAACAGTAAACATCACATTAGCACGCTATAACTGCTCCGTTCTTGCATAAAATATTAAACATTTTAAATTGAACATTATGTATCAAACTTAAATGAAGACAAGGCGGAACAAAAAATGAATAAACCAAGATATTTATAAATGCCTTGGACAACAATCTTTCAGGGTAACATAAATTAGTTGTAAATAAATGTATTATGTTTAAGGCAGGACAAGAAGCAATGGATGAAAACTACTCAAGGAGAGAAGCAACCTAGAACTAAGGAGAAATTTTCCGACAGTGAGAACAATTAATCAGTGGAACAGCTTGCCTCCAGAAGTTGTGGGTGCTCCAACAGAAGAGAATGGACAGCCATTTGTCTAGAATGAAATAGGGTCTTTTGCTTGGAAAAGGGGGTGGGACTAGAAGACCTCGAAGGACCCTTCCAACTTGGTTTTTCTGCTGTTATTCATAGTTGCTAATAAGTGTTAAGAATGAAGGTTTAGTATACGTTGATTTAAGGGACTATTTTTGTTTCTATTAAGGTGGGATTCAGATTAAAGCAACTAATGGGACTTAATTTCTGCTCTCTTAAGAAACGTTGATCTCCAGCAATTCGATTGTCACCTTTTGCATTTCTAGAGCCTATCTAGAAGTCAGATAGTTAGGCTTCCCTTTTGCTGTTTCAAGATCTCAATCTCTACTAACTCATGCAATTAACAGAAAATATTCTGCTTACCTTCACATCAACTCCTTTTTCCAACCTACTCTCCGGTTCAGACTTCATAAGCCAGTGAGTATAAACTGTCTTACTTTTCTCAATTCCAGCATCTTTTTTTACGCTTGTCCCAGTCTTCCTCAATCCAGAACTGGTTAGTTTAGATCCCTCCTTCTTCTGGATCTCAGTTTTAGCCAATTTGGGCTGTTTGGTAGCTTAAGATGACAAAACCAGAACACGGAATGCTGATTAGATTTTATTAAGTCAAGGAAAATGGATCTTTAAATGAAGGAACCACGAAGAAGCAAAGTCTGGAAAATTACCACATATTTTTGGAAGTATATCTCTCATGTTTTGTCAAGATTTCTGGCGGGGCATGTTGAAAGGCGTGTTTTTCACTTGATATTTGTAAGATGCACTTATAATTGGTTAGAAGCTGCTTTGTTGTGAAATGCATGTGGATTTTGCAGCTATTCTAAATCAGCATTTCTGAACGTTAGTAACTTTTAAGATCTGTGGACTTCAACTCCCAGAATTCCCCAGCCAATTCTGGGAATTAAAGTCCATGGATCTTAAAAGTGGTCCCGGTTCAGAGTCAGTGCTCTAAATATAGGCGGTAGCTATGAAGGACCAGCCACATCTCTTCTGCATGGGAAACAAACAGCAAGCATGACTGGAAACATTAGAAAAACTGTGCTGAGCTGTTAATTCAGTGTTTCTCAATCTTGACAATTTTAAGGCATGTGGACTTCAACTCCCAGCATTGCTGGCTGTGGAATTCTGGAAGTTGAAGTCCACATGCCTTAAAATTGTCAAGGTTGAGAAACACTGTGTTAGATCTTACTGCAAAATTGGAAAGTTGGCAGGGTTTAAGGAGAAGCATACACTTAAAAAACTGAAACAGAGAATGTGCTTGAACAGGAAGCATCTCACCTGTCAAGGCTGCCCTGCCTCTTTTCTTGCCATGGGCAGGCATTCTTTTCCTGCCAAAGAGTGGATTGGGCACCTGTAAAAAAGATTTTATTTGTGAATCAACAGAAACATTCCCTGATTGGCAGCTGCCCAGTTTGGTGTAAGATGGGTGGCTATATAAACATAATAAATAAATAAATAAACACCCAGTGTGGGTCCCTGAGCACCCAGTTTAATTAATTTTGTAGTGAAAGTTCAGGTTTCATTTCCTTTTCATGTTGCTACTCCTCATGGCTATGAAAACAAATCTGCCCAGTTGCAGGAGGCCCACAGATTCGATATACAGAGTCCAGAATATACTGTGTGTTACAGTAAGTAACAATACAGTGGAGAAACTTAATAGTAAACAATTAGGCCAAGCCTAACTGTATAACTAGCACTTCAAATGAATTGCTGTTTTATGTTATAGTTTGGATAAAAAATCAAACGTTTGTAATATTGACCTCCTAAAGGGCAATGAATTTTCACCTTCCCCTTTTTCTCTTCAATACTTAAAAACTTTCCAATTGTTGTCCATAATTTTTAATAAAATTACATAAAGCTGACAGCACTAAAATCATGGTTTATGAAGGGAGGGAGGGAAGGAAGGAAAACAGAGTTGGAAGGGACCTTGGAGATCTTCTAGCCCAGCCCCCTGCTCAAGTAGGAGATCCTAGACCAGTGGTTCTCAACCTGTGGGTTGGGACCCTATTTGGAGTCGAATGACCATTTCTTGGGGGTCGCCAAACAACGCAATCCGCCATTTTTCCCCCCTTTTCCTTAGCTGTGCTACTCCCTTTTATTCTATTTTATTCTTTTGAAAGCCAATAGAATAGACTCTCTTGAATAGAGTCTAATTCTATTGGCTTTCAAAAGCCAGTAGGAATTGTCCAGGCTGTCTCTGCCCTGCTGAGCCTGCCAAAAGCCCCATTCTGCAAACGGTGCTGCACCAGTTGAGTAGTCCTCGACTTACGACTGGTTGAGTAGTCCTCGACTTACGACCGGTTGGGGGGTCGCGGCATTAAAAAGGTTGAGAACCACTGCCCTAGGGCCTTAGGCCATCTCAGACAAACGGTTGTCCAATCTCTTCTTTAAAAACCTCCAGTGATGGAGCACCCACAACTTCTAGAGGCAGGTTGTTCCACTGGATAATTGTCCTCAAAGGAAGGGAGGGAGGAAGGAAGGAAGGAAGGGCAAAGCTGCACGCCTTCCGTCGGGAAGGGGCTTCCCGTGGAAGCAAACGCTGCAAACAAACGACCGACCGGAGGAAGGGAAACACGCGCCCCGACCTGCTCCGCTCTCCCTCCCAGCGGCCGCTTTCCGAGCAGAGTCGCGGGCGGGCGCGGCTTCTCCGCAAAAAAACGGCGCCTGCGTCTTTAAGACGAGCCTCTTCCTTTCAACCAATCAGCAAGCCCCGCGCCGGAGGCTACATATACCGGAAAGCAAAGCCGCTGGCCGCGGGTGCTTTCGGGGCTGGTAGTCTTCGGGAAGGCCTTACCCGATAGGGCATGGAGTGCGGGCGGGAGGGGCGCGGACTTCGACGCCCAGAAGGCCACGCGGCCGCCCGTGCCTCAGCTGGAGGCTAGCGGAGCCGCTTGCCATGGCTTGGAGGGGCTGTTGGAGGCTGGGGCTCCGGCTGCGGGGCGCTGCGCCCGGGCCAGGCTGGGGGCGCAGGGGGGTCGCCTCCTGCATCGACCGTAAGGCTCCCGGGGGGAAAGATGGGGTGGAGGGGGTGGGCAGGGCAGAAAGGAGCCCCCTCTCGACCTTCCTTGCCTTTGAAAGAACCGTGCCAACTTTGGCTTGCCTGGTGCTGCGGACGGAAATCCAACAGGTCGGGCTTGCCACTGGCTGGGAGCGCCCCGCTGCAGCCTTTTCCCGAACCCTGAGCCCCTGCGTCCCCCCTCCCCCCGGTTGAGTTGGACTACAGTCCCCATCATCCGTAGACTGCCCTGGTGGCGTTGGTAGCCCCACCGTTGGAGGGCGTCAGGTTGGGGAAGGGTGGTTGGTTGGGCTGTGGGAGGGAGGCTCCGAAGCTTGGCAGCTGTTAGCCCAGGGATGGGGGGGGGGTGCAACCTTGGTGGGAAAGAGCCCTGTGGCTCTTTCAGGCGCTTCTGCCTGCTGGAAACCTTTGGGGAAAGGTAGCCAGGAGGGGGTGGTCAAGCCATTCTTGGGACGGATAAGGCTTCACCTGTGGAATTTCGGCTCAAAGTGGGAATGTTAACTCTGATGTCCTTCTTCTTCCAGGCAGTGTTTCTCAACCTTGACCATTTTAAGGCATGTGGACTTCAACTCCCAGAATTCCACAGCCAGCATTGCTGGCTGTGGAATTCTGGGAGTTGAAGTCCACATGCCTTAAAATGGTCAAGGTTGAGAAACACTGCAGAGGGACCTTCAGATCTGGTCCCCAAGGCAAGGTTTTATTGTAAAGGATAGAGAGCTGGATTTGGGGAAGGTTGGGGTGAAATGTTAATGCACAAAAGATTACTTTTTTAAAAAGGGAGAAGTGTGAGAAAAAAGCTCAAAATAACTCCCCTTTGGGAAAGGGAGGGAGGGAGGGAGGGAAGGAAGGAAGGAAGGAAGGAAGGAAGGAAGGAAGGAAGGAAGGAAGGAAGGAAGGAAGGAAGGAAGGAAGGAAGGAAAAAAAGGAGGGAGGGAGGAAGGGAAGAAAGGGAGGGAGGGATGGGAGTGAAGAAACAAAAAGGAGTTTGGGGTTATCTATGGAGATTCCCAATCATCCAAGTCATGGTTGTCCCCAAAGAGCTTTTTTCCCAAAAGGCAACTGGACTTTCTTGGTGTTTTCTTTGAAAATGTTTTGCTTCTCAGCCAAGAGGTTTCCTCAATTCTCAGAGTTGGGGTTTCTCTTCTCCCCCATCCCCTATTTTCCTTCCTGCTTTCCGCTTTTATGAACTGATTCTCTCCGGGCCTCCCCAGCTGCTATGGGTCTGACGGAAGAACAGCAAGAGTTTCAAAAAGTGGCTTTTGACTTTGCTGCCAAGGAGATGGCCCCACACATGGCTGAGTGGGACGAACAGGTGAGATTTCAGACTCCTTAGAAAAAGCTGAGGATTGCACAATTTGAGTCCCTGCCACCTCTGCCAAGATTGACGGTTAACCAACCAGAAATTCTTTTCTTGAGCTAGTTTGTTAAAAAAAGGAACACTTTGCTTTGGGTGAAAAGAGTTCTCAGCTAAATCACGGGTTAGCAGCAGTGAGAACTGAAAAATAGATCATAAATAAATATTGGAGAATTACTGCTTGTCTTGAACAGCCTCTTCTGGGTCTGCTGATACTACCCATGGCTTGCCTGGAATAAGTCATGGAAAAATGTCCTACAGGTTGTAAGGACACAAACAACTGTGTTACTTTCTTGGTAAAAAAGATGCATGCTGATTTTTGGTGCCTTGGGGGATGTTTTTGATGGGGATTTCTTAATGGTCTCCTTTCCAAGCATAAACCAGGTCCATCAATGCTAAAAAAAATTCAAGATCAGTCGAGGTCAACCAGATTGCAATAGGTGTTGCAAATCTAGTTAAACAAGGCTGATGTAAGTTCAGTCAATACATTTTCTTACTAGGTGGAAGGCAAATTCCTTTAGGCTAATACAATGTTTCTCAACCTTGGCCACTTTAAGATGGGTGGACTTCAACTCCCAGAATTCCCCCGCTGGCTGGGGAATTCTGGGAGTTGAAGTGTATCCTGCTTAAAGTGGCCCAAAAAACTGGGCTAATGCAGCACTAAGAATCTGAAAAAAAGTGGAAAGGGAGAAAATGTTTTATGCTTTAAATATTGCTCTTTTTTTACATCTCTGCAATCCCAGAAATCCTTCTGTTTTTATAGAGGCTTTCCTTCCATGGGATGAAAGTGGCTGGGAAACTGTTCCAATTCACAATTTCAATTCAAATATTTATTCCGTGATGCTTTGGGGAAGCACACATCAGGTTGCAAAAGCCCTGGAAACGAGCTGAGAAAGTTCTTTCAGTGGACACGACCCCATTCCCCTCTCGTCTTTGGCCTTGACAGGAAATATTCCCGGTGGAAACACTCCGGAAAGCGGCTCAGCTGGGCTTTGGGGGCATCTACGTGAAGCCAGATGTGGGGGGGTCTGGACTCTCTCGGCTTGACACCTCCATCATCTTTGAGGCTCTGTCGACCGGCTGCGTCAGCACCACGGCTTACCTCAGCATTCACAAGTGAGTTTGTGCTGTGGCTTCAGTCTCCACACTGGGGCCTTCTGGGTGGGTCCAGTAGCCTGGAGGTTTGTCCAGCTGAAGGTTGAGGGCGGGGGTATCTACATTTATAATCTGTTTTTATTTTATTTATGTATTAGATTTTTTAGACTGCCTTTATGACTTTATAAGTTATTCAAGGTAGTGAATTTATCTAATACTCCTTTCTTTTCCTATTTCCCTCACTACAACTACCCTGGACTGAGATAAAGGGACTGGCCCAAAGTCACCCAGTCTTCTTTGATGCCTAAGGCAGCACTAGAACTCACAGGCTCCTGGTGATTGGCCCAATGTCACCCAGTCGGCTTTCATGCCTAAGGCAGCACTAGAACTCACAGTCTCCTGGTGATAGACCCAAAGTCACCCAGCCGGCTTTCATGCCTAAGGCAACACTAGAATTCACAGGCTCCTGGTGATAGACCCAAAGTCACCCAGTCGGCTTTCATGCCTAAGGCAGCACTAGAACTCACAGGCTCCTGGTGATTGGCCCAATGTCACCCAGTCAGCTTTCATGCCTAAGGCAGCACTAGAACTCACAGTCTCCTGGTGATAGACCCAAAGTCACCCAGCCGGCTTTCATGCCTAAGGCAGCACTAGAACTCACAGTCTCCTGGTGATAGACCCAAAGTCACCCAGCCGGCTTTCATGCCTAAGGCAACACTAGAATTCACAGGCTCCTGGTGATAGACCCAAAGTCACCCAGCCGGCTTTCATGCCTAAGGCAACACTAGAACTCACAGTCTCCTGGTGACTGTCCCAAAGTCACCCAGCCGGCTTTCATGCCTAAGGCAGGACTAGAACTCACAGTCTCCTGGTGACTGTCCCAAAGTCACCCAGTCAGCTTTCATGCCTAAGGCAGCACTAGAACTCACAGTCTCCTGGTGACTGTCCCAAAGTCACCCAGTCGGCTTTCATGCCTAAGGCAGCACTAGAACTCACAGGCTCCTGGCTTGGTTTCTCTCCCTCTGCCGCAGCATGTGTGCTTGGATGATCGACACCTTTGGGAACGAGGAACAGCGGCTGAAATTCTGCCCTTCGCTTTGCAGCATGGAAAAATTAGCCTCCTATTGCTTGACAGAGCCGGGTGAGATAACGTTGTCCTTTCCTGGCTCTTGGAAAATCCGTGTGGCCAGTGTTGGCAATGCTCTGGAGGTACACCAGGATTTTTAGGGCTCATTCATAAAGATCTGGGTTCGACTCTAAGGATTATCCCTCTGCTTTTAGATGGAGGGTGATGGTGGTGGAATCTCTTTTGGGGAGGGAGAACTTTGAATTGATGAGAGAGAAAAGGGAATCGGAGCAGGACTTGCCTGATGCCCATATTCTGAATTATCACTTCCTCACTAGGAAGCGGAAGCGATGCGGCTTCTTTGCTAACTTCGGCCAAGAAACGCGGCGACGTGTATATTCTCAACGGCTCCAAGGTACCCCTTTCACTCTCTTGACATGACAGCTGCCAAAGAGCAAATCTGATGGATTCTGGAAGTCTCTTTTCCAGCTAACCCATCTATTAAAAGGCAGCAACTTTTGTGAACTGCAGCTTATGCTTCTTAATAATACAGGTAGTCCTTGACTTGTTTAGTGGCCATTTGAAGTTCAAAAAGAGTGACCCATGACCCTTTTTCATAATTATGACTATTGTGAAATGGTCACCGGATCTACATTCAGACGCTTGCCAGGTGACTCAAATTTACGGCTGTTGCAGCGTTCCCCGGGTCATAAAGTCATGGGGGGGGGGAAGCCAGGTTGGCTTAACAACGGTGTTGCTAATGTAACGTAGCCACTGTGGCGAGAAAGGTTGTAAAATGGGGCAAATTTCCCTTAACAGCTGTCTCGCTTAGCAACGTAAATGTTGGGCTTAATTGTGGTCATAAGTTGAGGACTTCCTGTATAATCAATAAAATTAACATTAAGAGCAGAATAGAATAAAATGGAATAGAATAGAATAGAATAGAATAGAATAGAATAGAATAGAATAGAATAGAATAGAATAGAATAGAATATATGGGGATGACGATGGGAATAGAATAGAGGAGAGTAGAATAGAATAGAATAAAATAGAATAGAATAGAATAGAATAGAATAGAATAGAATAGAATAGAATAGAATAGAATAGAATAGAATATATGGGGATGATGATGGGAATAGAATAG